TATTGATATAGGCATATGTGCAATGGGCATAGGAGTTGTAATAACTGCATAGGCCAGTGCCAACTTCCATTAAGCCCAATTGAATTAAAATGGCCAAGTGGGAGCCATATATTAAAACCCATTTAATATATTGTACATGTTATGCACTTCTAATATGGCAAAATGTGCATTACTATAAATACCACTTAAAATCTCGCTCGTTAGTGAAAGCCTCTATAGTTAACATGACTGCAGGCTACCAATATTAATGGAGACTACAAGCAACCCAGGTACAGGCTGGTCGTAATGCGTTGTATTGCTGACAGTGACTGTACTTTACCTCCGTCTGGACCACATTGGCTGATATGTTGTCACAAGCACAATACTGTATTGCTTCTCGTACAAATTCTGTGTTACTATGCAGTTTACTTTTTGCACCGTTTCAGTCACAATTTATATTCATCTTGTAGGTTTAGCTTAATCCAAAGTGTAAGAAACACGTCACATATTTTAAGATAGAAATGCAATTGTATTTTGCATTATTTATTTCCTAGTAAGTTCCTACTGAGCACAGTTTTAGTTTTGAGTGCCAGGGCTTAAAAATAATTCTAAGTAGTAAATTTTGGAAATTAATATAATATAAACAATAAGTACATTTTATCAAGCTATAAATTATTTAAACGACAGTTAATAGCTCTATTGGTTAATGTAGTATTCTCTTTGTATCTTTTTCGAAATGTAATCCTTTTTAGACCACTTTACATTATTACCCCTTTTAATAAATATACCATTTACTCAAGGGGCACATTAAATCACAGCTCTATTGAGTCTCTTGGTAGAATATTTATGCTTTAGTATACATTTTTAAACGGAATGTTATTTTTTTAGATACAGTTTCCATTTTTGGTCCTTCCATCAGTAAGTGTACTATGGCTGCATGTAGTTTAAACAAATTAATGTAAGGTGTTTAAAGATGCGCTTTTATTGGTAATTCTAATAGCTACCTCATTCATTATAATTCTCACTAACCACAGCCAATAGCTCTCTAGGTAATAATGGTACAGGATGATCAAATGCATTTTTTACGGTACGATTTAAGCTTTAATTTTATACATGTTATATTATTTCCCTTCCACAAAATATACCCTATAGATCCATTATTGTGCTCGGTAAATATTGTTTACGATTTATTCTGTAAACTAATGTCTAAGATATTGGACGAACTACGATGCTGACCAATGACATACCAGGCAGCGTAGTTAAAGGTGAGATGAATGAAAAGCTTGAGTGTAAAAAATACGTGAAAACGTTGTTATTGACTTAAGACAAAATAGTTTACAGAGAAAGACGTCTGAACACTATCCTGTACAATAGAAGGTTTAGCTGATTAGCAGGCCGGAGTGAGCTGTCGTCGCTAAGTGAGCTCCAAGTGGTCTCTCGCTAAACAGCGATAATCACAGTCGGTGTTTGTGGTGCGAGGTGTCAACTTCTGCGATCCTCTCTATAACACAGTGGTGTCGGTCTGTAGTGCTTGTGGTTATACATTAGGAGAAGTCTACCTGTAGTGAGGTAGGTTCTGTGTTTGGGAGTAGATGTATCAAGGTTTATCTTTTAGGATACACTAAGATTATTGTACAATCGCAGACACACTGTAGGTCTCTAACTTGCAGAATATAAGTTCGAGTTTAGGATTAAAAAGTACTGTAGTTAAGGTAACTGTCAACATTCAAACACGTACTGATCAAATACAAGCTCTGAGCACAATCTTTTTGGCACTTGCTACAAAATAAATCTATTTATTTACACCAAACATGAGACATTTAGCTTTAGACTATTGATTTGAAATTTTACTTAGTCGTACATCCAAACATAGCTTTGTTCCAAAAGTTTTACAAACAATACTTTTTATCACCGTATAACGTTTAGTTGATATTGCAGACTGTAAATTAAACATGTCTAATTACAATTTGAACTCATACTCCATCCTACACTCATCCTTCACTCATATTTGGGTTAAAATACGCACATAGTGGCGTCCCCATCTTAAATAATTGATAATTGAATTGAACATGTATTATATCAAAATGAATTTGCATACATAACGGTAACACACATAAAATCTACTAAGTGGTTATACATCTTGATTAGACTCTCCAATCACCATTAAACTCAATAGGCAACATAATTCGCCTCATTACAGTAACTGTCAATAATGGCGATGCACTGTTGTAATAGTAATGTGTATGACTATCAATAACTTTATCAACGTCTAAATACACTGGCAATAGTCATATAACAAAGCATAGGAGTAATGCAGTATTTAACTATTATTTGAACAAATCGAAGCGGTACAAAATGAATTCTTTGATGGAATTCTTAGTATTTTTTCTTAGGAACCCTCTACAGAATTTTCTAAAGAATAATCATCTTTCTTTTCGACATTTAAATTTGTTGAATATAAGCTACTATGGCGAACACTTGGTATAACAACGTTGCATCGTTAACATACCAGATCATCCGGCAATAACCTAAATTTAAATTAAAATTCCTTTTCTAATTATTATAAAAACTTATTCAACAACAATAATTTTTATAAACGTAATATTTAACAAAATAATGTTGACAACGCTTTGTGAAATGTATAATGCAGTTGAGTTGAAACGCCGTAATTTTAATGAATCATTTATGCATGTCTCAAAACCAAAAATATAATAAGTTTATTGACACATTTATCTCTTGCCAGATGGGACATAACTGCACCAAAGAGACTATAACATTGATGGCTATTTCTATTTACGATAAATTATGAAACATCACAGGTGGAAAAGTCTAACCAAGTGAAAATATCCGTTCAGCCGGTATTATAATTTGGTTTGAAATAAATTAAGTCTAACACTTATTTTGGCCAAATAATTAGGTACCTAAATCCTACAACATATTGTACTAACTAATTGTGTGGGTAGCCGAGTGCTCGCCTTCAAATCTGAAGGTCGCTGGTTCGATTCCAAGCGAGATCATTTCATGTCATTGGGCTATGAATTAATGATGCTGTCTAACTAAAAGGTCGACGTTAGATAGTAACAAGACCAGGGTTTGGACCGTTGTCTTTCAAAACGAAAAAACGCCACTGGCGTAGAAACACACAAAATTAAAATGCAAACTTGCTATTTCACTAAACAGAAAACTAAAACAGAAACGATTTATTTAATCAGTATTTAAAACTCAAAACTTTCCATCAATGGAACTAAAATTAACCCAACTCTGTGATAATGTACAATTTTAGAACTAAAGCGAGATAGCCTTTTACGTTACGCAGGCTAGTCGTAGCGGCAACACTTTCATGATAACCTCCAATTACCAGAAGCAAGAGGTCAAATTGTTCAGAGGCATCATCATCCGAGTCATTAACTGCGTCTTCACAACTTGGAGTGTTATCTTCATTGTGAGCCTGATATGTACAGACAGTTGGCAGCTGACGAATTCATTATCAATTCCCAAAGTTGGCTAGGAATCTTTTAGGATTGACGTCAACAAATTTGGTTCTGTGACAGTATGTATTTTTTTTATAGAAACGACATTAAACAATTATTCATAATTAATTATTGCATTTTCAGAGGAACAACTTGTTTTTATTTTGTGTAGATCTAAACTTATGATTTTTTTAATACTTTTTAAATGAACGATCCAAACCCTGGTCTAGTTTTTAGCTTCGAACTTTTGCTAAATAGCATTATTAATTAGCCATTTGTTATCAAATAAAATACTGCATTCGCTTCGCTTCACATCACTGACATAACCTCAAAATTTGGCTGTCTGCTTGCTGCTCGTAGCGTTTAGCTGTTTCCCGTTTGAAATCTACGTCTATCAATGACGTCATGGACTGCACGTACTATCTATTGGTATTACATATCCACGTAACCGTAGCCACAGCGTAAAAAAATATGTATCCATTTATACAAAAACAAAAATTGTCCAATTTATTTGAAGAGTATTGAGAAGGAATACAGTATTATAAAAAAATATATCCATTCATACAAAAACCAAACTTTTCCAATAATAACAAATGGCAACTAGGTCCGGAAACGATCTTGTATGGAATCTAACCAGCTACCTCCAGATTTGAAGGAGAGCACTCGGCTACCCAGACAATTTGTCTGAATTTACTGGATTTTGAATTGAATTTACAATTTGTCCTAGGGTTTACCGTCCAGAAATTTTTTGGTTTTAGAAAAAAATTTGCTAATATGATGAATATGCTTTATCATACAAGCTTAAATTATATAAAAATTATTATTTTAAAAAGTCGGTAAATAATGGTTAACTAGTATTTAAATTACTACAAGCATTGAACGATTTATTGAAAATATGCATAGCACAAAAGGTAAGAATAATGGGACCAAGGCTTGCTCTTTAATTTGTTCTTGTAAAATTGTGATACTATACAGTATAAAGCCTAATAATATCCCGTTATGAGGTCTCGCAGCTGTATGAGAGGTAAAATCCGTTTAATGAGCTAACATGTTGTTATCGTGCTTGGCTACTTAAGCGCAATCTTTTATTATAGGTAGCCTACTAATGAGATGTACTAAACGTTAAGGACATGATTGTAATGTCAAAAAAAAAAAAAAAATCATAGCACGGCCAAAAGTGAAAACCAAAGGTTTCTGTTATGTTTAAGGCCGGGGATGGCTACATCACTCGCTGAGAGACACTCGTGCAGGAGTGTTCCTGCTTGTGTGGATGTGCGATGCTGCGCTGTGGAATTGTAACCAAATGTTTCTGTTATGTTCCAGGCCGTGGATGGCTACATCACTCGCTGTCCTATTCCTGCTTCTGTGGATTTGCGATGCTGCGCTGTGGAATTGTAACCAAATTTAACCAAATATTTCTGTTATGTTCCAGGCCGTGGATGGCTACATCACTCGCTGTCCTATTCCTGCTTCTGTGGATTTGCGATGCTGCGCTGTGGAATTGTAACCAAATTTAACCAAATGTTTCTGTTATGTTCCAGGCCAGGGATGGCTACATCACTCGCTGTCCTGTTCCTGCTTGTGTGGATGTGCGATGCTGCACTGTGGACTTGTGACTGTCAGAACCGTACATCAGAGAACAAGCTGGTTCTGGAGACTTGTCACTGTGCAGGGGACAGCATGGACCACGTGCCGCAGGACATCAACCATGGTCACCTACACGCCTTGTGAGTATACAGACTCATCATCACGCAACTCTCGTCATAATAAACAAGTCCCAAGCGAACGCTCTGATTGCCTTACCAGACCAGACGCCGTTAAATGCTTTTAGTTTCACACTTTTCCTTGACGGTTTTGCTCCTATTTATGGTAACTTACGATTGTTAACTGAACTATGCGATCAATAAAGAAAAGGGTTAACAAGTAGGTATACAGTACAAACAGGCAAACAGCTGAACACACAAGGAAGTGAGTGTTTTCGTCAAGTACAGCATTTTTAGGAGTTAATTTAGGTATCTCAATACTCTTCAAATAAATTGGAAAAGTTTGGTTTTTGTATGAATGGATATATTTTTTTATAATACTGTATTCCTTCTCAATACTCTTCAAATAAATTGGACAATTTTTGTTTTTGTATAAATGGATACATATTTTTTTACGCTGTGGCTACGGTTACGTGTATATGTAATACCAATAGATAGTACGTGCAGTCCATGACGTCATTGATAGACGTAGATTTCAAACGGGAAACAGCTAAACGCTACGAGCAGCAAGCAGACAGCCAAATTTTGAGGTTATGTCAGTGATGTGAAGCGAAGCGAATGCAGTATTTTATTTGATTAACGTCCGATCATTTGTTTTAGTTTTATTCATTAAATTTGATTATTCGCAGTTTGTATTACGCTATGAAATTAAAAACTTGTTCCCTTGTAGAGATAAAACTATGCCTTAAACTATGATAATTATGATTTACCATAACTATAATTCATAACCTTTAAGCTACCGAATGATTTAGTTCGCTTTACCAACTTGGTCTTTACAAAACTAATTTATTTTCTGTATTTAAAATATATTTTGAGGGTCCTAGGATAGACTATACATATTTATTTTGATAATAACTAATGATGTACCTTCTTAATTAAAATGTATCCTAATTATAATGAGCTTTCACTAAATTAAAGAATCAAATTAACTGAAAAGTTATAGGATAAGTTAGCCTAAGTCAGATAGTCTGTTGGAATACAGAATGAAATAAAATAGGCCTAAGTCCTACATAAAAGCAAGCCTCAGCTAAAACTTGTGGTGGCAATTAATAACGTATACGTTAAATAAAATACATATTGATACAACTTAAGCAGTTTTATTTTTATTTATTTTTATACCAATGGATAGGCTACACCGTTTAAAAACTGCGGTATACACAATAACAGAGTAATCTTAGCCTGCAGATAAGTAAATATCCATACCAACTAGTGATTATTTTACCCAAGTTAAAGTTAAACTCAATTAGCTAATCGTTTTTTAACAAAGTTAGATCATGTTTTGAAGTGATAAGTTTTGTATTGAATTGAAATTTAGTTATATCGAGTAAAGGCTGGTACAGTATTTTTGTATTATATGAATGCTACCCTTATACAGCGCGCTGTGGCGGTTATGTTAGATGGGTAATCATAAATTTTTAATGACTAATCTGGTAAGTTATCGATTCATATCGAAACAAAAGGAAAGTCCTACAAACATATTTACGATAACCCAATTTAACCTAACTGTCGCAGCGCGCTATCATATAAGTGTCCTCCGTATGATACAGTTGTCGCAGCTAGTCTGGGCGCGCGGCCGCGCTAGGGTGCGGGGTGTAGAGGGGAGTGTTTATTGCTCATTTCCAAAAACATCTGGCCCACACGGCTGTCTGGGGTTGTTCAGCGCCTCACTGCTGTCTTCATGGCTTTGGCGTGGGGGACGGTTAGTACACAAGGGTCCGCGCGCCCAGACTAGCTGCGACAACTGTACGAAAGTACATAAAGACTTTTAACTGTAGGCCTAACTTTGTCTTTACAACAGAGACCGGTTAAGTTAGGTAGGCCTACAGTTATGAAATTATTGAATTTTCCTTTAATGAACATTTCTTTCACAGGCCTTATGGTGACAACAACAAAAAGTATTAAACAATTATTTACTCCTTGCATCTCATATGGCCTAAAACTTAGAACTAAAACAATTAATTCAATACTTTTAAGATTAATATGGTATTTTTATGTTACCAATATTGATTAATATTGGTAATTTAAGTTATTCTTAATAAAAACTTTAAAGAATAAATTTTTACACAATGTGTAATTTGACATTGTTAATTAATTACCTACTGATTTCTACTATGTATGCATGTACTTTTTAACCAAATCAAACGCATACATACAATAACTTATTGCAACCTATAGCATCTTTTATGTCACTTGAACTACCTAAAGTTATCTAAAAAATAACCCCCGCCGAGCAAACTTGTAGACTAAGCGAATTTCCATTTATATGGCTGGACTACTACCAAAATATTCCCTTAAAAATAATCATATTTATGTACTATTTGAATAAGTTTAATTTTAATGAGTACTTACGATTGTTGTTACAGAGAAAGTTTAATGAGATATGTTAAATAAATATTAATAAGAAAGTTGGATTTGTTTGAATTAAAGAAATTTACCAAATTTAATTAAAATATAACATTAGAAACAGCAAACTACAACAGACATTAATTATTCCCTATGAAAATAACATGGAATTTTAAATTTGAAGTAAAAAAAAAAAAAAAATCCTGAGACGTAACCGTTAGGAATACAACAACGGGTCAATACACTAAATTATTTGTTTTTTTTTACACAAGCTCTACAAAAAGGTTTTGAAATGTTCCCTTTAACAGGAAAGTACCAAATTTTTTTTTTTTCAAAATGGGGGAAAACTAATTCTTTTCAAAAAATCCCGTTACCATAGTCCGATCATGCTGGTTAGAGAATTTGATCAAATAAATGTATATTTACTATTTGTATGAAATTTTTATCAAAATCAGATAACTTTGGCTTGAGTTATCGTGCTAATTTAATAAATATTTTTTTATATTGTGGGAATATGGGTTTTTTTTTATTTTTTAAGTGCATAGTTCATTAACTTATTGACTTTTTCCTATTTGTTAACAAAAATCTATTCTGTTTGTATGGTTTATTCCCACAAAAATAATGTTTAGGAAACGGAGTAGATATCTAGTAGATATCTGCAACATAAGCTATCTTATATGTTTTTGATTTACATACGATGCAAAACAATAGATGATTTTCTTTTTTACATTTGATCAAAGTTTGAACAGCTACCCAGCATCTGAACTAAAATACTTCCTGATTAATCTGATATTGCAACTTCTGAATACACACTCAGAACTTATCTGTGTGGCGTCTACTTCTATTTCATTCTCTTAAATAAGGCGTTTTTTCAATAAACCTTCCAACGCAAGGATCCCTCTATCTTTACCTACAAACCATTGAAGCATTAGTAAAGACCTATCTTTGAGTGTTTTTTTTTTCAAAAGGTACCACTTTAGTAAATCTGCCTTTCTTTTTTGGCAGGCCTACAATTGCTTTGTCATGACACTTTGGTCTTCCTTTTCGCTTAAATGTTATTGGCATCACTGGCAAGTCTATCATGCCTTTAGGTTCCTGATTAGATTTACTTGCACTAGGCATAATCACATTTAAATCGAAAACATTTTCTAACTCAAAAACGGTGCATTCAATTTCAACCGTCCCCGTTTCTTGCCTAATTTTGTTTTCCATAGTGTTAGCATCACTTGAGTCAACTGTTGGTCCAGGATTTCTTTGTAGGACAAGGTTTTTTTCTTTTCAAAAATTAAAAAAAAGCTTCCCCTTGTGGTAAAGCATAATCATGGTCCAAAATGTGTGCATTGTTGACAAAGGATGACTCATCGAGATTTTTCAGATTAATTTCTTGAGGAGGAACTACTTGTAACTCTTCATCAGGATCCATTTCGTGATCCAAACTTTCAACCTCCACTACAGAAACTTCTTTATCCAGTTCCCACAGGCTAATAATGTCATTTAAGACTTGCATCCTTTCAGGGAACATTCTACTAGATGCCTTCGAGGCAAGAGATGCAATTTTTTTAAGCTTTGTAGTGGCAATGCGGTACCTATCGCTTTGTGATAAAACTTTCTTCTTGGGCACAGAAGAGTGTGAAAAACTGTCTCTTCAAGGCATCTTGTGGTGTATGTTAACATCAAACTACTATTGTTCAGATAAAATTCTTTAGTCCATCTTGGTGGGATGAGAATACTGTCAAAGAGTGGTAAATCTTTTTTCTCTCTAACATGCAAGATATGGTGGCATGGTAAATTATATGAGCAAAAGAATCTGCAGCTACATTTACTTTCTGAAGTATTTAGGAGTCCTTGTGACGATGCAATGTGAAATTCATTGGTTGAAACTTCACTAATTAATTTCACCTTATCCTTGTGAGCAAACTTATCATACACTAAACCAAAAGCATATGGTATTAGAATCTGCAATTAACGGCTCTGGTCTTCATGTACAATAGTGACATTTAAAGGCACTTTCAACTGAACTTTAGCAACTTTAGCATCTCTCTCTGCTCTCAAACTCAGCAACAAACAGTCCAGATTTTGGAAGAGATCTGGAAGCCTCGAATGTCGCTGAACAACTTGCATGACTTTAGAATTGATTGATTCTAAGCGGTTATATCTATCTATATATCTAATTCCGTCAGCCCAAAATTTTACAATGAAATTGTGAGCGAACGGGAGGCCGTAGAAAGCTGTGAGAGGTCTCATTTTAAAGGTCTGAGCATGAAATTTTGGGGAAAATTATTCATTTTTCTTAATTATGCACCAAAAGGTTAATCCGGAATAAAACAATTCACATTTAAATAGCATGGGAATCTAATTTTATGTCTTTTTATTTAGTGTTAACACAGCTGTGATAAATCGAAAAAATTATAACCACAGCTGAATGTGCATTATTTTGTTATTGTAAAATTGTTAGTGGAGTAGTAAACAACAACACAAAGTGAAAATGAGATAAACTTTTTTGAACAAACAATTTGACACTTTTAAACTTAATACTTCACAATGGATTGTTCTTTTGCACAGTAATAATGTATAATGTCGGAAGACTACCACGCAGAGGTAGGCTGCCACGCAGAGGTATTGTTCCTCAAAATGAGAACAACAAAGCGCCAGATTTGGCACAATATTAATGGAAGAAGAATAAATGAGCATCAGATGAACATGAAGTTATTCCTGTGTATAGATTACTGGTACCACTTTTAAATGAGATTGCATTACACAGCGTAGGACCAACGAACGGTGGGTGCATTCATTGTGGTGCATTGCGCACAAACAAATGTTGGCATTTACTTATTTGAAAAATCCAGTGTCTTTCCCACTCCCCAGTGTCATCATGGTCAATATATATGTTGCGTTCAGCCGGGTAAAGCGGCCAGATTATTTTAAAAATAGTACTAGAACAAAATAAAGACCAAGGAATCGACCAAAATGGATACTATACATATACAACAATTGTTGTTTTCAGAGAGATTTTGTTATAGAATTAGCATTTTACAATTTGGATGATGACATTATCTCTGTGTGTTTTTCTAAGTGAATTTATCTATATTTAAAGAAATCTAAATAGATTTAATTAATAGTAATGAAGATTATTACTATTGAAAAATGTTCTTTGGTTGTATTATGATTAGAAAGTTTAGGCTACATTATAAAAACACCACATGTCCTTTGGAATTTTTATCTTAAACAGAACAGACATCAAAATGCACTATGCAGGTATGTAATAACTATTAAACATATTATAAAAAACAAAAATGTTAAAACGATAATTAAAAGCAGCCTATGAGGCTAATAATTTGTACAAAATAATTACTGGAATATATAATAGGGATTATTGCCCCTACAAGCCACTAGTATTATTTTAAATTTAGAAACTTACGATTATGTGTATATCCAAATACGACTATACGAGTAATTATATTTGAGGGCAGTAAGTACCACGAATAACTGAAAGCGGCATGGATCATAAACGTAAACAAATAATGTTATTGGCCCAAAATTAAACATTATTTTATTTATATTTAAACGGATCTCTCAAATTAGCTGTTTCAGCTATTAGTATAGGCATTCGGGCCAGTTACATCATTTGTTAATGTTTATGATCAATACCGTTTTCTGATCCAATATTCGTATTACCAACAATCGAATCTCATTAGTTGTCGGTGAAAATACAATGACTTTAACAATACGCTACAACAAATAGAACGTTGAAACTTTAAGATTGCAATGGAATATATTTGTATAAGTATATTGTTCCCGAGACAGAAGCGAGTAGATCAGTTAGAAAAGTTATACTTGCAGAGAGCGTAAAGTTAGATTGTTTCGCAAGGCTCAACTAATGTATAATATTAACTGGTCCAACCAAAGGTAAAGTGCTGCTGGTGGGAAAGTTCGTAGGGGTAATCTAGTTCGAAATGCCATTACAACATCTCCAGAGCTTCGCTAACAAGTAATCTTTTGTTACAAGAGTTGTGTCCTAACTAACGTACGTTTACTTGTTCAATATCTCATTTAAGATCTTAATTTTAATTGAAGGGATCTTCATAAAAACTGCATCCACTAATGGAAACAGAAACTTTTGTGTTATGGTAGATCACGTTTAAAAAAAAAACATCAAAAGAAGAACTTAGGCTACACATGCACAAACATGTGTTAAAAGAATTAGTACCAAGTAAATTTCGCATGCGTAAAACGACGATTTAATTTACAAACCCCTAATCTAACCTATAGTTCCCTAATGTTAACCTATTTTTAATGCTATTACAAATTTTAAACAATTTATAGTTTTTCAAAGAATTATATCAATAGAGGAGATATCGACGTACTGAAGGGTTACCAGACTTCTTACCACACAACATATCTATAAACCGTGAACAGGTGATCAAAGGGGATGATTAATCTCTAAGGGAGTATTTGCAATATTTGGTATTGAACATGCATATTCCACGAGTAAAATGCTTATGTAAAATAAGGAGAAGATTGCCAAATCATAGATAACATTTATTTCTTTGATGGGGCTGTGAAAATATTAATGGAAATATTGGTTAGAATTATGCTCCACTATTTAGTAGTCTCAACTGAACGTTTTGGGGAATGAGCCGTGCTGCCGCAAGTAAACTAATACGGTACGCTTTTGTCAGATTGTAGTATTAGCTTACTCGCGGCCACGTTATTATTAGATTGTGTAGAATTCTGTTGTTTGTGATGCAGTTAGTGACGTTTTACAAACCGTGGATTTCAATAACAAGGGACTATAAATATCCAATTTGAAACACCAGTGATTCAACTTATAATAAGTTGTGGTTTTTTGTGTAAGAAACATACAGACCAACCGTTACACTGATCTGTACCAGTACAGTATTTATTTCCAGTGTTTATGTTAACTGAATGATTGTTAGTGAGGTGTAAACGATTTCTTTGATTGGGTACAACTAGTTTTATTTAATGAAGATTAATTCATTTTCAACAAAAAAAAGGAAACACACATTTCTAAATATCATACTAATCTAGAAAAATTGTAAATGTGTTTGAAGTTTTATTTCATATAGCATCAATGGTATGTCATACGCAGTATACTCATATGTGACAAAGTCAGATTTCTAGCAATTTAAGACTATTAATGTTCTGTACAGCAATCATGTAGTCTATTCCATTCGACCCAAATTCACAAATTCTCTTGTTCTTGGTTATCAATTAAAAAAAAATTGCATACATATTTATATATAAATCGATTCATACCAAACAAATAGGATTATGTAAAAAACATTAATTTTAACTTATTTATAAATAAGTAGTTGATAATGCGTCTAAATAATTTATTCCTTCCAAAGATAAAAGATACGACTTCGCCAGGGAATAAATGAACGAATGATTTGATTGTTTAACATTATGCTCTCAAGCACGATATTCAAGACATTTTCTCCAGAATTGAATTCATGCCTGTATGTCCTACCACATTTGCACTGACTCACCCTACTAGAAGGGCAGCTGAAAATGTTCAGGCCGTTAAATTGCATGTTCAGGCCTGTAAATGTTATTAAATAAAGCTTCCTCCTATCTGTCAATAAAACGTTTTCCCAAACGTTTAATTTGGACACTGAAGCGTCGCAAACAACAACTCAGCATCTGCCAGAACGATCCTTCAAGAACTAGCAAGGTTATCAGAATACCATTGACTATTGGATACAGAAGTTGTTGTATTAATAGTCAAAGAGGAGACGTACAAAATAATAATAACACGTAATATACTTTAGGTGTGTATTGGGCAAAACAACCGACTGCTATCAACCTCTATGACAATTACGTGTTTTTTGTCTTTGATTGTAGATCCATATCCCTCGGAGGAGTAGAAGAGATCAAAGATAACGACTTCCTTCCATACAGCAACACTTTACAAGAACTGTATGTATTTACCTAGAAATCTAGGCACAAACCTACATAATGTGATAGTAATGGAAAGTTATGAATAGTTGCAAATTTAATTTAACAATATTTTTCCGTACATAGAAGTATAGAGTTTTATTGTATAAAATGTTTAAATATATAAGACCCACAGACGGACACACTCCAGCAAAATGTGTTCATAGTAAGTAAACCGAATTCATATGTACAACCAAACGGTTTTTTTTATTTACACTATTGTTTACATAACATTCAATTAAAAATCTTTCTATTTTCCAATATTTAATGTGAAAGTGCAACATTATTTTTATCAATGGCTTTATGTTAGCTCTATTAAGAGCCTACATAAGAAACCCATACATCTGTTTGAAAAATGTGGACCTTAAGAGTCAGTAAATTTAGCGAGCTTTAGGTGAATTGCCAATTTCTTCATTTAAACGGCTTTCTTGTCTACAAATGAACCAGAAACCACCTAGTTGCTGCATATTGTGGCGAAATAAATGTTTTCAAGCTACAAACATTGATTAAAATTGTTATTTTATTAATTTAATTTATTTATTTGATTTTTTATTTTATTTAATATGAAAACGTTTCTGTCTTGCAGGTACATCACTCAGATGAGGAGCCTCAGGGCTCTACAGAGGAATGTGTTCCGTCACTTACCCCAGATACAAACTATGTGAGTGACAAACTATATACAAGAGAGAGATTCTCAGACCAAAGCATATACATTCGGCCCCCACATCTCTACTCTAAATAACTCAAATCTACCATATCACAAATATTTTCAATTTTGTAAGAAAATCTAGTCACGTTAAAAATAATCTGACAAAACCAGAACTGATTTCAAGGTTAAAGTTTACCTCTGTAAGTCAGAGAGACACAAAAATTACCTCAACAACTTGGAATGTAGTGGATAAGTGAGATTCGATTTGCACTCTACCTTAACAAGTCCAAGTTTACCTCTGAATCTAAATTTTCTCAGCGGATCTTTTAAAGTTGAAACTGTATTATACAATCATGTATAATAACCTTATAATAGGAATATCTTATAGAAGGATAATATTATGGACTGTTTTACATCATATGATAACTACGTTGGATCGTACTGTGTATAATACCATGCACTAGTCTTATGACATATATTATTAGCATATTCCATTGGTACAATGGTACGCACATTTTAATGTGATATATTTAATCACGACAAGTAAAAAACGAAGTTTTATGCCATTTCCGTAACTGGGAAAAAGACCACGGAGAATGACATATTATGAATATATTGTACGTGAAGTAAGTATTCATATTGTAACGTTTAATTTATAATATTTGGCAGTTGGTAAACTTTCTAAATAATAGTTATTGAAACAAATGATCTAAGACCAGTCTGATTAAAACTATATCTTATTTGATTTATTTTACGCTCGGTTATGTGTAAATGCTGTTTTTTCTTCAGGTAGCGTTTTAATACCTTAATACTTTTCATAGATATGGCGACCATACAAAGTAGGTACGGTATTTTAAGCCAAGTATGAATGGAGATGAGTGTAGGCGCGATCTTGTAGTCTTGTTATTGACTAAGGCCGACATATTCCATGGACACAGCAGTTAATTAATAGGCCATACAGCTAATTGCAACTAAGGGACCTACAGTCTATTGTGGAATCCAAACCACATTTTTGCCTTGGTATTAACGAATTGGTCAAATTACCATTATAGTACTGCGGATAGTCGTACTACCGTCGTCCGACTCACTAGTGCGGACTTTAATCCACACCAGGGAGTATCGCATACACAGTGCATACCTATAAATATCCACAATTCATTAGTTCAATGTTATGTACGATATCTAAGAGTTTATTTCTGCTGTTCCAGAACCATCTCTCAGGTCCCCAACATGAGGCAGCTACCAAACCATCTGTTCTCACCTGTCAACCGCCTCAAAGTTCTGTGAGTTTGAATTGTTTCCTAAATGATAAGTAGCCAACCTGTAAAGGAAAAATTATCCACAAAAAGCAAAATACATTATCATCTTTCTTATTATACCTGCGGGAAATGGTAAAATAAATACCGGCGATCATTGTCTGTCACGACATTATGAGAGAGCCGATAGATTACTAGTTATAAATCGGCTATAGGCTATTAGTGATTATTCCAAATTTCCCATACGAAATTCTCGCACAATTCGGTGGCTTCAAAATTCACATACAATTCCCGTCTTACAAGCGAATTGACACTAAGGCGTAGTATTTCAAAACACAACACTTGAGTTTTAAATCAAACAAAGTACAGATGTGTCTTCTTAGGCTTTACAATGAAAACAATCATGTCTCATTTCTTTATTTCTTACATATAAAAACTCATCATTCACTGATAGTGATGTTAAAATTGATATTGCACATTTTTATTGTAAGATATGTTAGACTTTGATAAGGTCGTAAAAAGGTTTGAGAATGTATTTAAGTATATTTAAAATATGATTTGTTTTATTTTATTAAAAAAAAGTTAAGTCATTTGCGTTACGTCGTTAAAGGGACAATCTAAAAAAACCATAAGTTTTTCCTAATATCATACATTTCTTTTTAAGTTCAACGTTTAAATTATTATTATACTACAAAGTTAAACTTCCGAAAAAGTATAGACATATTTGTAAAACGGAATAAACTTTATAAAAATAGTTTACGATAATAATAACGATTTACCTCAGAGAGTTAGATTTTAAAGTGCAGGAGTCAGACACCGATATTTAACAACCTCACAAACATCTGTCAAAATGTCAAAACAATATCGTATGTAGAGTATCACGTCAGCCTTAAGTTTCCTCCAACTTTTACACACGAGATTTATTCTTTCTTAGTTGATTGAAAAAAGGTTCTAGTAATGCAGGGTCGTTACAGTATTTACAATGTTTAGGGTGCCATCTAATTTGGACAACTAAGAAGGGTTTCCTTTTATTTAATTAATCATTACAATATTTGTTAATCATATAAAACCTTTTAAAAATGAACTATATCATCAATGCATTTAGATAGGGGTTAAATATAGACGAATTACTCATCTTAAAAAAAAGTTATCTTAACATATTTGGGCCAATTCGTTAATTGTTGTTCAAAGGAAATATTTCAGACATAGACCAATTGTTGTGTTATATTAGTGGCATTCTGTGGGTTAGGATTTCCCGGCTGGTTAAGGATTTTCAATTTCGATATTTTTCTGCATGCACTCTACTTTCATTTACGATTTTGTATTCGGGTCCATGTAGTGTGTTTAACAGTTATAAACTAATTTACAATTTATTTCGTAAATAGAATAATAGTCTAAACTTAATTTTTTGGACAAGGGAATTATGTTTAAATTCATATATTAGAGGACCGCTCTAGATTTTAAAACCATGTACTTTTATTTCTATTTGAAATTTCAAATTACTACAAAAAAATTCTATGTCTGCAAAAATAACAATTTGTGGATGGATAAAAACGATTTCATCACGAGGGCCAAAAAGACACTTCTTGACCAATTGATGGACTGAACTCTTCACCTCACGCAAAGAAAAAGAAAACTATTTATTACATTTTTTTCTTGTCATGCTATTGTATTCGAACAGCTACTTTAAAGTTTTTATTTAGTTGGTTATAAATACATTTAGAATACAAGGTCATTTACATGGCAAGGTGTGGGTTTATTTACATAAACAAAACACTAGTAAATAGCATATAAATAACACGTAATTTTAAACCTTTTGCTATAGTATAGTTAGAGTTTGATGAATTCATTAATATGTTTCTTAAAAGTTAAATGTATCACCATAAGAGTTTATCGTGAAAGTTAGATGAAACAGATATAACTAGAAAACTTTACTTCAGTTGTCAAGTCAGAGTATAGTTTATGATATTAGGCTTCACCTTTGCCTTATTACTTCACATTCCAACAAACTCTCTCAAGCTCAAAAGCTTAACTTTAATAGACATATTTAATATAATACTTAATTCTTATATGACATAGAAATAATATCTTTACAAAATGCAGATTTTAAGGTAAGTTTTTATTGATTCCATAGCTTTACTGGTGTTCATACAGCCAATGTGTTAAATTTTATCAACAGCTACTTGAATCTATTTCTGACATGTTAATTTCAATTGGAATTTACGTGGAATCTGGGGAAAAAAACAAGCATTTGATCTTTCTTGTGTCAGGATATTCAACAGATTGTTTCAAAATACAATAGCATTTTTAATGACAAAGAACGTAACTTAAAAATTATTTCCTCGACATAACCATACTTCTTTCTCTGTTGTATGATCTCTCATTGAAGAAGGGTGATCCACACTGGACTGGAGAATATTCCAGCGTTCAAAGCACTCGGCAACAACTTCATCATGCACATCGTGTAAGTAGGTATACTTTATAATCTACATAGCATACAGTTGGTTCCAGTCGTGTCACGGGTTTGTGTTGATCAATGAGTCCCAACGTGTAATAAAAAACGTGGCCTTCAGAGTTTACAATAACAATTTGTTTCCGATTCCACCCTTATTGTGTTGTTTTCTCTTACAAACCGTTGTGAAAAACACATTTTTTCTCATGACCAAATTAAACGTTTAGGTGCGCGAAAAAATTTGTAAGTATACTGTCATGAAAGTAGGCTATACTATGCATAAAGATGTAAAATAATTATCCAATTACACACATACAGTTAACACCTAACCTAACCTAACAGTTAAATGTATGTATAACAATAGTATAACTGTTTGTAAATTGAAAAGGTTATATCTTTGGTAATAAGACTTCACATAGAAGTTTGAACATGTGACAGGCTTTTATAAAAGTTTGTAATACCTCTCCAAAGCCCATATTAATAACAACTAATAAATGAATCTGGAGTATCCCCAGAGACCTGCGAGCCACCTGCGGTCTTGTTTCACCCCCCAGCCTCCCCCCCATCATCACTGACACTTCTACTTACTTTGAAAGGGTATTTACAATTTGTTGTTTATGATGATACAACTGAAAACAAAATGAAACACAAAAGAAACTAATGCAGTTTTCTACTACAGTTTAAAAAATGAAACAAGTCAAAGATAACATAACCTATAGTTAGTTTTGCTTAAGTTAATTTCAATCCAAACAATCCAGAAGACAATTATATTAGTTTAATTTAATCTTTGTCTTGTAAATTGAACAAATCAATACGTGTATGATAAATAATAAATAATTGCTTTTCAAACGTTATGTGGGAATTCAAAGAACACCTCCAATATTATGTAAACATGAGAAATCATTACTTCAGTCGATAAACAATACATACGAAAGTTGTTCAAAATTGCTTTACACAATTGAAACCTGTATGAACAGTAATTGTGCTGAGCATCTTAAATTGACATGTCACATTTTCGTTATTGGACATCAGCCATTGTACAATACATTTCCACGATGAATTAATTATAATTGACTTTTTATATCACTTTATATGAAACAAATAAATTTTTATGTAATAAATTAATCGTCACTAATGTAATAAATGAGTCAATCTGATATTTAATTAAGTAATCATGCAACTGTTGACCACAACTTGCATTTTTAAACTGTGGTAATGTTAAACAAAACTAGAGCTGTCTCATTATTGTCAAATGTGTGTTCATTGGTTGGGATGTTTTATGAGATCATTGGAACTGGATGTGAAATTATTATCCTAAACAAATACCATATTAAAAAAGATTTTAAAATCAATTATTCAAAACCACCAAAACAGACTGTTGAATCAAGCATACAATATCATTCACTTAGTTTACAAAGTTTGTTCGACATGATTAACTAAAATAATGAATACTTTTATTTTACAGAGATTTTGAAAGCAACAAAATAAAGCGACTTCAAACAAATTCAGTACGTGTAAGAAGTGAACAATTGTAAGTATAACAATGTTATGTTTATATAAAAAGAGCAATTCAGCAATACTAAGTTACTTTTTTAAATTTATTATTTGTGTGGATAAAACCTGCCATTCCATATATTTTTAAAGTCGATTTATATAGTTTTTTCATATCCAAAAAATAGTTTTAGTTTGGATTTGTATGAAAGCTTAGGGTTCTTTTCAATGTATAAGATTATGTAAACATAGTATAATTTTATTTATTTATCTTATAGCGTTGTAGTACTTGGGGTTTAAAGGTTTCAATTTGATTATATAGTTTGCTGGCCTACAACAAAATAGAACATGTCGAAGGATGGGCCTTTAATGGATCCGAAATAGGAAAAATGTAAGTATTACTATACGTAAAATATAATGTAAGTATGTAATCCTTAATGCATTTTGATGTGATTATTTCCTTTATTTCTTTAAATGCTTAATTCGTTGATTACTAAAACTCTAATATGCCATTTGCTGAGTAATATGTGTTTTAATGTTAGCAAATGGATCAAATTTAAAATTTCCTAAACTACAAATCTCATTACGATTAACCTGTAATGAAAAATCAAATCTAATGTACAAACATTTGTCTGTAAAAACTAGCATTTTGTTCAAGTTGAATTGAACAGAACAAAAAAAAACAATGTTAAAACTCCACAGCAAAAACAGTAAGACAACTCAAATAAAAAAAAAAATCAGTAAATAAATTGTTAGTATTGTTACGTGGAACAAAATAATCCAATCGGGGAGACTGCGATGGAAGCAAATTGGATTACGCAGGCTTTGCTTGTTTATGTTGTGTGGAAACAGCCACTGAGGTCTCTAATCACTCTTAAAACTGGCTGCGAGCGGCTGCAGACATTAAATATGTATGATTGTGAATAGACTCTCACTCCCATCTTGAGCCTCGGGCCGCATTTCTTTGTCAAAGAAAACATTTTAATTATGTTTCGTTAAAAGTATTCCTTGATCTGTTTATAATCATATGCTATTATTATTATTGTTTACATTTGAATTATTTACAAGTTGTACACAGATTTAGTTAAGTTAATAAAGATTCTTTTGTTAAATAGGAAAATTAGTAAATTTTATTAAACAAATTATTAATCTTTACGAATGAAATAGTCTGATTATGATTGAATCAAAATAGATGTGTTTAATTAGCGTGTATTAAGAGTTTAAAGGGTATATTTGACCGGACCTTAAAAGGGAGGTCTTGTGAGATGAATTTTGTACCAGAAAAAGAATCGAAAAAGTGTCTCCACATAATTTTATTTATTATTGAACGTTTGAATATTGATTAAACTTTATCATTTTGGAGTTAACATACGTTTTAATAATTTTCTGTTTATAATAAACCTTTTTGTTTTCTCTCAACATCAAAACCAAATTGTATATTGTCAACAAAGTTAATTAATTTATATACCTAATACGATAATGATTTTCTCTGTATCCCTTTTTCACCCGTAGTAAATAATCAGTTCATAGGATTACGGTGGCATTTCAAAGATAATGATCAAGTGGAGTAACGAATGCTAATTAAAAAGACAAATGATTACCTTTATGCCTTCACCCCCTAGCATTGGTTTTATTTCTGGAGAGTGCTTTTAAGGTCTACTGTAGCTGATTAACTTTCTTCATATAAATGTGAATTAATTGTAGTTTAACAGCTGGTTACCTTCAGTTTGTAATTTAGCAACAGTCATGTTGTAAAGTAGAGATACGTCAGTTTATGAAAATAGATGTTAAATAGGATACTTTTATTGATAATTGAAACATGGTCAATGTACGTCAATTATACTCTTTGTGGTATGGATTCACAATAGACATATTTTAAATCAAGTACATTAGTAGTGTAATTTATGTAATGGGCCTAATCGTCTCAAACGAACATTCACATTAGATTAATTCATATCATGATTTGTTCCTGGATTTCGATTTATTCAGCTATAAAGTCATCTTTTAAAGTTAAAAAAGGTATTAAATTACTCATTATGCCTAGGAGACGAATGTTCAACCCTGTCAAAATGCGCAACGTACGCATGGGTCCCATCATTGTATTTATTAAATTTTTGCTTTAAAATCAAACAATTAGTAAAATGTTGAGATTTTTTATTCTAGGTACTTGTATAAAACATTGACTGCAATTTAGTCTTACGAGCGATACTTAAAGAATGAGTACGGGTAATATATCATCTTTTTAATTCAGTTAGGTATATTTCTGAAGACAATTTTTTCAATGGACAGTTTGAAAATACATCATTACAGATAAGACACACATAAAACGAGTGTAAACGGGTTACTATATTCAACATATAAAGCGTTATAATTATTTTAGGTCATTCAAAACGTTTTCGTTACTATGATTGTATGAGCTCCATTTTTTTTAAATAACATAATAAACCTAGTTTGAAAAATCACACATCTTTCCTTTTTTTCTCTCATGTAACTAAGTTGTATCAGTTTCTGTTTCGATTACAGCAGCTTTAGAGGCAACCGTGAGCTGACTGATCTGTCACCAGACGCATTCAACGGCCTCTCCAGCCTCAGGGACTTGTAAGTCAATCACCTACTGAATGATCTCATCAACTTTTAAAACTTAACGTTTTATACTATTGCACACATCTACATTATCTTTAAGAGTGGTTTGTGGTGTAATTCAAAGCAACGAGCCTCAAGGGGAAACATAGTCTGCATCTCTTTACAGATCTAAAGAAACATTTTATTCTTTAGCTATGACAAATAATTTTAATCAATTTAATGTAAGTACCTCAACCGTCTACGTGTGCTTTTTGGTGTTTATTTTTCAAAAGGGTTTATTTTTTGAAAAGTTTTAAAATATCACATTATCTGAGAAAACATTTCTTGAATAACATAAAAATACGTCTTGTCTTTGCAATAATCCTCTTGACTTTGAATAAGATATCTACAGGAAAAATTTTGGTTATGGGGTAATACGCTTTCAAATATATATATATAAATAATAAGTGTAAACATGATAGAACATCAATAATATGTTTATGTTCCCACTGTTTTGTGTGTATTCTGTCACGTCGTTTTCTAAAATAAGTGATCGGTTGTCGAGGAAATGTCATTTTTGTTCATAGTAAACGTCAAAATAGTTCATATTAAGAGTCCTCTTAAAGCATCTTTAACAATTCTTGGTTATACATTTATCTGAAGATATTGCTAAGTTTGCCGTTAAAGAATAATTGTTACAGCCACTTATACATGTTGACAACCACGCTACTCGTCAAAAATGCACCCCCCGTCAAAAAATACACGCCTATGCTAAAAACCTTGTATAGCATAAATGTCTGGTATAGGGAACAAATAACATTTATTTTAATTAAGTTTTGTGCTTAAAAGATTTATCTTTAAAACATGTAATAAATATAGGTATTAACATTTATATATTGCTGTAAAACGTATTTTGACGACCCTGATTATAAACTTACAATCATACTTGTTTGTCTGTCAGGGATCTATCAGAAACGTCCATCACCTATTTACCAACAATAGGGCTAGAAACGTTGGAAATGCTCAGACTCACCGACACATACACTTTGAAGACAATTCCTTCCATATACGACTTAAAAGTAAGTAGGCCTAGTAAAGCTGAAAGTCAAATAACGTCTTAGACTTACTTATTCGTTAATTTATAGAATAAAGGGGTAGTAGCTTACTTACCATAGACGAAGTTTAACTAACTTTTGTGGACTTATTGCAATTTAGCCAATAAATCTATAAATCGAAATTCTGGCCAAGAGCCTTTCCTTGAACAATACTTGCTTAATTATTGGTTGAACTTCTAAACACATTATAAATTATAGCGTACCTTTAGGTTAATTAATATAATATAATCTAGTTAATGACAAATTATTTAACCAATTTTTCAAAAGCGGAATCAATGTTCAAAATTTATATTTTTGATGAAATTTATAAAAAAAATTTTGCCTGATTAAAAAACTAATGAAATTGTTATCTATGGTCTTTTATATGAAGAGTCTACAAAAGGCTGAGTTGACTTATTCGTTCCACTGCTGTGCTTTCAAATATCCAGCCCGTCACGACCCAGCCAGACACGCCCGTCATCAGGTAGAGTTTTACTTTAACTTAGCGTTCGCATGTAGGCCTATGTAATCTTAATCAACATTTGAGTAGAACTATAGTTTAAGATACTACTATAGTTGTCTATACTTGTACTACTATACTTGTAGTGTACTATAGTTTCTATTGTACATATAGAAAGTAAAATTAATTCAACTTTTTACTAGGATTGCTTTCATAGGAGCGAAAGCTAATTGAGCGGACCAATCACGTTTCATGTTTTTTTTTACAAAGCAATAAATTAAAACAACGTTTATAAATATAATAAAACTATTTCATAAATGTAACTTATCAGTTTGTCTCAGAACCATCAACATCGATAACAAGTTTCATAAGGAAAGATATGGACATTACATACATATCCTTTTGTATCCGTACTTTTTCTATGTTTGCTTGCTAATTTCATCTGGTGAACCCACAGTTGTTCTAGTTGAACCAATCGAAGAAAAAATACAACACATTTTCTCAATCTTGGACAGATTTGGCAATTCAGTCCGAAATAGTCCTGCATTAACCAATATGATTAGCAAATGCGATTTTTAAAGACTTGCCTGCTTTGAGAGAATTCCACAAATAGTTTTCACCATACCTTCTTATAAGGTCTGTTTTCTAAAATGTTGTACATTTAACACATGAAAAGCATTGTCTTTCAAGCAAGAGTGTTCTACATTAAAATATCTCAACACATTTCCAGAAGCAGTTGTTCGTTCATTTCGAGCATTTATTTACCAAAACCTATCTTCATTTTCTACAAATATCATGCATTTTTTGAGAATTCATTCTAAAATAAGCCTTAATATTACGCTCTTTTCAGAATTAGGCATTTTATTGGAAACCAAAAACTTAAATAACTACTTTAGGCTTACTTACTTAGCAAATTATACACCCCAAGTCGTTTTGAACATGCTGATCAATACATCATGTCAACCAAATGTGTTGCACACAATATTATCATCACAAGGTTTTCAAATTTGACAAGTTTGTGACAAGGTTGTGAAGTATAGTTGTTTATTCTCAGTGGTAAATCGCGTTTTTGTAGATAATACATATATAAACATTAATTCAATAGTATGCTTTATTAGAAAAAAAAATCATGTTAGAAATGTCTGTTTCAACTCTCGTTTACATAAGATTAATATTACTAGTATATTTTTGATAACAAAAACACGTTGCAATTGTTATGTCAAAAGATATTCAATGTATGATTTCGAAAACATGCATCAAGGTATAAGAAAATTCCAAGTAGTTGTCAAGGCAGAAAAAACTGGCAATGAACACAGAGGAAAATACAAGCCAACATCAGGTGCAGTTACTTTGGTGATTATTGGTTAAGGATTAAAATAGGGCCTACGTTGCACTGCAGTGTCCAATTATAATCTGCTACGGTGAGGATGGTTACTCCATAGACATACATCAGTTTGATCCTGTCACCAAATACAGAAGACAGTTTCCACAGCAAGCTTTTACTCTTACCATTTAATAAATCTGAATGGCGTAGTAAATTATCTACTGCATTTCCGAGATCTAATGAATCAATTTCTGGTTGATATTTAAGCAAAAAAAAAAAAAACAGAGACCTAGCTACATTAACATAATCTGAAAAAAACCCTAAGGGCTAAAAGTTAAATTAAAGTAGTTACGTACGGTGGCCTTAACAAAAATTCACCTTGCATGGATGTAGGAATGCAGGAAAGTAGGATGCAGTTATTGCTGGGATGGGTTCAGGGCGCCGCGGAAGCGGTGGTTTGAGGGGCACCGCGGCAAAAGTAATACAACAAAATGGAAAAACAAGTTAGATGTACATAACGTCCTTTGAAAGTTATGTATAACTGAATTTTGAGTATTACGTTGTTGCATTTATGGAACAAATACATATAATTTGACTCCAATCACTTTATATTTTTGCAACGTTTTCCCAAATAAAATATCTTATAAAAACTGAGTAGCTGGATTTGCTTGTATACTATATTTAGTTTAGTAATAATAGCCTAATGTCATTAGAAGGTTACAATTATTTTTTACTAGCTGTAACCCGCGGGCTTTGCCCCGTTTAACTTCTTAATTTTCAAGATTATCTCGTTCGCATGGCTCAATCACGTCCTGGTTGAAGTTTGTTCGCTACGCTCACTCACCTTTAGGTTGGAGCTCATTCGCTGCGCTCACTTGCCTTCAGGTTAGCTCGTTCGCTACGCTAACTCGCCTCCAGGTTGAAGTTCGTTCGCTACGCTCACTCACCTTTTGGTTGCAAATTAGCTGTTGTCATAAATGTAAAAGAAATAATAGTGCTGCACCCTGTTGGTAATTCTTGTAACTTTAATGCTATTGAACATCATAGAACAGAACCAACTTGTTTAATTGAAACAGCTGTTAAGATTCAATAATTCTATTTCTCATAAGGTTAACATGGGAAACTCCAGAGCCACTGGGGTGGAGCCCGAAAGGATTTTTGAAATAAGAATATGCCTATATGTTAATCGGGAATGTGAGCTATCATCATGCCAAATTTCAGCCCAATCCGACCAGTATTTTTGGCGTTCACTTGTCACAAACATACATCCATACATCCAAACTTTCTCATTTATAATATTAGTAGGATGACAATAAATTAAATTCTATATGAAAATGTAATTGATTGGCACAGAATATTGTGTAGATTTCACTAAATCATTGTGAGTGATAAGATTTATATTGCATAAGGTATACAACACAATGAAAAATATACAAAACAAAAAAATATTTAAACCTCAACAATCAATATTATAAGACAAAGGTACAGAAATTGCAATGACAGTATTTGAGACCAAGTAGGCCTGCGTAATTTTAAAAACATGCAAGCAACCATGCTTGTGGTTTTATTGATTGACAATAAAAGAGTAAAGAACACACAACTTAAGAAATAAATATAACTGTAGATTAGTTACACGTTTAGTATGAAACCATAAACATTTGTATGGTAGTAATAGGCAATGGCCTTTGATAAATAAAAAAATTCGCGACAGTAATTCTGTTTGAGACAACCATCGTAAAACCATCATTACGATGATAAAAGGAGTTTTGGATTTCATAATTAGTCTACCCTAGTAATAAATAATGGAAGTAAAGGAATAAAAGATATTAATAATCTACTGTGCATACGAGTAGCTGCCGTTTTCTGTTTTTATCTCGTCTGGCCGGCCGATAGCCGACCTTAGGCCAGGGACACACTTACCGGCTAAACCGCCGGACGCCGGACCCGGCGGCGCCGGAGCAAGTTGAGATACACAGGAAGGCATGGGACAGGCCACACTTCTCCGGTTCGGCGAAACTGCCGATCCGGCGGGAAAATGCGCCGGCGAAACCGCCGGATATTCTCTACCTCGCCGGACCGCCGGATCGGCGGTTTCGCGGGCTCAGCGGGTAGCGGGGCATTGTCCCTTATGGAGATGAACACACATACCGGCAAAACAGCCGGAATTGCAACTGCCCCCACTCCTCAGTCATGGTTCAACCCTCAAGGGTAGTGGTTGTTTTTGATTCCAGCACAGTGTCCAAGTGGTGTATTTAGTTTTGTTTTGCTATTTAGTTACCGGTAATTTACTTTTTATTTTTAGTCTGTTTAGTTTTCTATATCATCATGGTAGATGTTGATACGGATTCACTTATTAGTTTGGTTCATAAGAAACCAGAACTTTGGGATAGGTCTTTTGAAATTTACAAAAACAAAAACAAAACTAGGGACAGATGGCGACAAATTTGTGCCACACTGAATCCAGCCTTTGAGGAAATGCAAGAAAGCGAACGACGTCACTTGCTAACGTCACTGCTAGCATCTCTTGTGGATAAATACAGCGTGAAGGCAAGAGGAAGACCACACTGCTCCGGTCCGGCGGAAAAATGCTCCAGCGAAACCGCCGGATATTCCCTACTTCGCCGGACCACCGGACCAGCTGTTCTGCCGTCCCAGCGGGTAGCGGGGCATTGTACTTTGTGGAGATGAACACACATAACGGTGAAACAGCCGGACCTGCCCCTGCCCCCATTTCTCAGTCGTGGTTCAACTCAACCCTCTAGGGTGGTGGTTGTGTTTACTTTATTGTAGTGCAGTGTCCAAGTGGGTTATTTTTTTTGTATAAGTTAATTTAGTTTTCTATTCCATCATGGTTGATATAAATATGGACTTATTAGTAAGTTCAGTTCATGAAAAACCAGAAAATGTAGTATACAATCAAATCCAGCTACTCCATTTTTATAATGGATGGGTTACTAGTTTACCACCCTTAAAGGAACTATAAGGAAAAATGTGGTAAAATAGCAAAACAATAAAAACTAAGCAAAGGGGGAATGTAAAAGCTCCGGAGAAAGGTTTAGTCTATCTTTAGGCAAATTGATTTCGACGAATAAAAAAAGATTTATGAATACAAATAAATCAAGGATCTGGTATTTGGGTATGGTAGCAATTAAGCGACCGCTCACCATTGAAGTGAGTGTGAAGGTTCTTAGTGACCACCTTGAGAAATTAGAAATTTTCCTGAACAGAATATAGTTGGGATCGTAACAGATGGTGCTGATGCTAAGGTAAAAAATTGGGTGACTTGTTAACACAGAGCAGCAATTTTGTTTTCCTCGTTAGCAGTATGCAACGTTCTTGATAAAGTAACAAATATCTGGAAGAAAAAGAGGTGAAACGTACTGAAGAAGAAAATGCTGCAGGAGAATGACTCTGCGACTGAAGAAACCATGGAAAACCAAAAGTCTGGGTTTAAACCTTAATACCAAATAAATAAACTTTTTCGCAACGATTCCAACATAATAACAGCAGACGCCACTTTGACCTTCCATAATCTTGATACAATTTGTAGTTCGTCATTATATGAGTTTGTCAACGAAATTAAAAGTGCGTTTACAGCTTCGATATCTGAGAAACGCAAAGTTGGGCTTCATGGTGTATTGAAGTATCTCCGAGATTCCCCAAAATCCTATAAAAAAATCCTACTTCGGTGCCACTTATCAGTAAAACTAAACTTAAGCATTTGGTTGAGACAACCAACATAAATAAAACCTCCTACGTTGAAAAGTAACAGTATTAAAATTGTACTAATCTTTTTTTGAATCCTCTGAATATTATTGATATCTATATTTGTCACGTTATTTTACGTACATATATCAGCAGTTCATTACTCTTTGCTTGGCAGAAATACATTGCTACAATGCAGGAAAGATGCAAGGACCGAGTTAGGGAGAAAAGGAGTGTAAGTGATGGACATGGGGAGGACAACTTCGGGGCCATCATCATGGAGGGGCAGGACAACTTTATCCCTCCACTGACGGGGGAAAATATCTTCCACCACCTGACACCACCCTTGTCCGTTCAGGAGGGGGTGGCCTTTAACACGCAGCATGACGACGACCAGAATGGTAGGTATAGATGCACATCAGCAAAATGTAGGACACATATTTACTTACTTCATTCGTACACAAATTCATCATTGATAAGTTTTTGACTACTAGGCTACTTGGATTATGTTGGTTTCATTATTATATTTTGAAATTGCACAGCATTATTTTCAAGGGCCTCACGCGTAATTTTAAATATTTGTAGTCAAGTGGCTTGGAGTAGTTCTTTAAAATATTCCTATATTAAAATTATTTGCAGAATCCTTGATTATTCAATTACAAAATAACTCTTCAGTTAAAGTAGAAGCTGTGTTCATCTGGGTTACAGTGAAAATTCAACCCCAAAGGAAATGGGCCAATCGTTTTCAGCATCACACATAATACCTTATTCATGTGCCAGTCTTATTTTGATTTGTACGAGTTGTATCTAGTTATATCCAAGTTGGGGACACAAAAAGGGTCAATCCTCAGTGAAGTGAAATTAAAATACCTATACTTTAATTTCAATAAACAGTGTTAGTTTAACTGTTCCAAAAATGATGGAGGTCTTACCAGTAGCAGTATTTAGGCCGAATTAATGGCCGTAAACATACAGTATTACTTTTGAAATATGATATAACAATATTGTGTACAGAATTATTTTATAACACAATTCTTTTTGCCAGTGCTGAGTGGAGGATGGGCAGATATTGAGGCTCCAGGCCCTACTCAGTCCCACTCAGACTCGGATGAAGTGTTCCACCAGTCCACAGCTCAGCTGCCTCAGGCCAAGCAACAAGCGTTGTGCGGGAACCTCTCTCTGCCGTGAGTTTAGTGCCTTATAAAAAAATAAAATGATTGATTCGGCAAATGAGCAAATATATTTATCTATAATGTGTTCTGGATATTTCACTTTGGTTAAATGTTCAAATAAAATGATCACTCCGCGAAAACAGTAATTTATAAAGCCCACATCGAGAACTTAGCTATACAAGTTCTAGGCAACTGTTTTTTTTTTTTTTTTTTTTTTTTTTTTTTTTTTTATTTGAGCTTAATATAGTTTTTTTTTATCTGGGATGAGTTTAATTCCTTAAAGGGACAGGTTTCATGACCATACTCTCAAAACAGTAACTCCTTTGGGCCAAAAATTACCTTTTCTTCTTTATCTGGTCATGTATCTAGTCCTCATATCTCCTGATTTGTTGTAGGCAGCCTCCAGTAGTCTGTGCTCCGGTGCCTGACGCCCTCAACCCTTGTGAAGATATCATGGGGTCAGACTGGCTAAGGACGTCAGTGTGGCTAGTTATCAGCACTGCAGTGTTTGGTAACATTGCTGTGCTTGTAGTCCTTGTTTCTGCTAGGTCTGAGACTTCAGTTCCTCGCTTCCTCATGTGTCACCTCGCCTTCGCTGACCTCTGTATGGCTCTCTATTTACTACTATTAGCTGTCACAGACCTGCGATCAACTGGCGTTTATTTTAACTACGCTTTTGATTGGCAGCGAGGTATGTCAAATGCTAAGGTGATATATTGCAAAACTAGAGAGATTGCTATTTCCAAGTTTAATTTAGGTAATCACTTAACCCCCGTCTAGAAATATGGGTGTAAGGATAGTTAACCAAGTATGGTCTTATTTGTTGTTTTTGACAAACAAGCTCATATATTTGATTTTTATCATAGACTAACCAACGATTTATTCAGGACAAAGGTGCAACTGCTAGTGTTCATCAACTAGTTATTGGGGTAGACAAAAGTACATAAATTTAAATTATTCTGTTAAGTACTTTTGTTAAATTTGGAAAAAATAAAAAATTGAATTTGAGAAAACTAAGGGCGATTCTAGGGGAAGATAAAGTCATGACAAATGACTTAGGCCAATTCCTTGCAAAGGGGTGTTCCTGAGTACCAATAAAGCTTGTTGGATGTCCACTCCATCATGACGTGGTGTCCTCAAAAGATTCTTGAATATCTTTAGTGCCACCTCACCACCTCCTTTAAAATATTTGATTTAAGGCTTAAAATGAGCTAATGAAACAAATAATTGGTATAGATTCACTATTGAATGTTATAGGGAACTTTAAGTTTTATTGCAAATGGTTAACCAATATCAATGTACACACTTGTGACCCCCTAGTTTAATCTACGGGAGACGACTGACATAATTAAATCGGCTTGACTCTATACTCGGATCGGTATTGTTGACTATGGTAGTAGGGGGTGATAACTAAGTGTTCCTTCTCCTATATTTGACAGTGCTCTTAAGCTACGAAAATACCTTGGAGACTAGCGTAAGATTGACCTTGAAGAAGGGGGGGGGGGATAAAGCCTCTATCTATGTGTGTGCCTGATTCTAAAGCAGTTTACATAATTCTAAATGTGCTCAGTGACACCCTAATTTGCACTAATTAGTAGTGTGAACTAATGATAATAATACCATCTTTTATAAATTTTTCAGGGAGTGGGTGTCAGGTTGCTGGGTTCATGACAGTGTTTGCCAGTCAATTATCTATCTTCACCTTGAGTTTACTGACGGTGGAGCGGTGGTTTGCCATCCGCCACGCCCTCTACACCAACAGAGTAGACCTCTCTCTTGCGACCAAGATCATGTTTGTAGGCTGGGCCTACGCTCTAGTACTAGCCGCCCTGCCTCTAATCGGTGTTAGCAGCTACTCCAGCACAAGGTTCGACTAAGAAATGCTCTGTTTTGCCTTATACAGATTTTACTACACATGAAACTAGAAGTTCATGTATAGCACTATACTTTCAGGAACTACAGGTTCATAAAGAAACTCATAAGACCTGTGATTTTGTTATAATTAGAAATGTTCTGATTGTTTAACTGAAGCTATTATTGTCGATGCTTTAGAAGTCAATACACAACCCGCATTTGTGTTAATCTCACTTATTCATTTTGATACTTTTACCATCATAAGAGGGAAATAATGAAAACAGTTGAATAGTAATAGTAAATAACTATAATTCATTAATATTTAGAGTAGGCTTCAAGGTAGTTTGGCCCACCTATCACAGTAGAATGACGTAGGAGGATGGCGGACCAATCAGAGGACAGCTTACCCCTTCCCTAACCTCACCTAGTTCGATTTTTCGTCTCTTTCTCTTATTTCATCCCTCTTTTGAATAATGCAGAAACAGCCTTCCACGATTCGGGACTGGATCACATTAGATGGACGACTGTGTCTTTTGAGTTGTTTCTTTGCCCAAGGCTCACATCCAAAAATAATAACGGAGTAAGCAACAAACATCGGTACTCACCACTTGCTGCCTACCGGTATCCTAACACTTCTCATCAACCTGCTCAAGTTGGCCACAACCTTTTCCGCTTTTCTGTTTAAAAGTGGTCCCGGGACGTGAGCCGAACATCCAGTCTCATCCTCAGGTTCTTTAATACGGGTTTTGAGACAATCACTTCCCACCAGGGATCAATAATTCACGGATAACACTACCAGAAGCAGAGGAGCCACAGGTTCCTTGACAAACATAAATACAGATTTTTTTTTATATTTTGCATTAGGTGACCATATTCTTAAGTAATCAGTAAATTCTATGCAATACTTTATGACATGATTCAACAGTGTATATTCTTACCATCTTAAGATTGTTTCAGCATTTGTCTGCCGATGGATACCCACAACACCGTGTCAGTTGTGTACATATTGTACTTGTTGGCGTTCACTGGAATTGCTTTTATACTCATATGCTGCTGTTATGCTCAGATTTACCTTTCACTGAGGTAAGATCTACTTTTAAATGTTTGACACTAGAAATTTATAAAACTGGATATTATTTTGGTACGGGAGTAATTAGTCTACATTACCACATTAGTTACTTTTTCTTATTTTACTAAAATGTTGTCTCTTCCAGTTGTAACTAAACAAATGAATATCTTTTTTATTCAAAAACAGGATTACATTTTTCATATACCGAAATAACCCTGCCACAAAGAAAATATTGATGAAAATTGGCGTGCTACGGATAGTTATATTTACAGCCCCGTTAATAGCTTCTCAAAAACAGGTTTAACAGATTAAATTACTTAATTAGTATACCAGTATATTTGCTATGATGAAAACTGCCGAGGACCGGATACAATTATCCCTAGGATACAATAGGGAATACAACTACAATTTTTATCCTACCAAGATTAAACGCCATTTATAACTGCAGCTATATAAAATACACGATTTCATGTAGAAGTATAAGATGAGAAAAACCTATAAGCCAGTTGAAAGTAATGAGAACTTTAGTCTGGACATTCATCAGTTATTATACAAATCTATATCCTATTCCCTTGAAGTTATTACCTGGTCTGGGTAAGAATTACTAATTAGCTACTACGTATTCTTATGTTCATTCAAAGTCTTGCACCATCGGCCATTTCACCTAGGTTCTCCATATCCCTATTCACTTCATCCATCTATTAAGTCTTCTTATTGATCTTCTTCCCTCTATCACCATTGACTCTAATTTTCTTGCGAATGTTCTTTTCGCACACCTCATAGCATATTTTACCTTTTACTACTAAGATAAAGATATTTAGATAAAATAGTTTTTCTGTGTTTGATAATTTGTATTTTGGCATTTTCTTGTAGTTATGAGACCCGCCACCCACCAGGGGAGCGCACTGTGGCTCGCAAGATGACGCTACTTGTAGGCACCAACTTTGCTTGCTGGGCTCCCATTGCCTTTTTCTCCCTCACTGCCGTGGCTGGTTATCCACTTATCGATGTCACTCGCTCCAAGATACTCCTAGTTTTCTTCTACCCGATTAACTCTTGTGCGAATCCCTACCTTTATGCCATCATGACAGCTCAGTATAGAAAAGACTTGATACAACTTCTAGCTAGGTAAGTTTCCAAAAGGTTTAATAGCTTTCAACAAGTGATAATAGTTTAAAAGAGTTGACATTTATGCCTATTATTGACATACTGAGTCTCATTACTCTATTTATATTGGTAAAAAATATATTTAACCGTTCCTAGACTTTTCTACCACACTTATAGTATGATGTGATGATAAACACAATCAAACTTTTAACACAATACATTTGTTATTCAGGACTATTTTCTTTGGGAGAATTAGTGACCAGTTTTATAGCTATCAATGTTGTCAACGACAACTAATTCTTTTAGTCTCAGGGAGGAAATGTGTTGGCCCTTCAAGGCTTATTTTGGAAAAACCATTTTTGCTTGAGTTTGACAAAATTATCTTCCTGTAAGATTGCCCTTATAACCTCTCTTAACTAGCGCGTGTTGATTTTAGATATGGACTATGCACAAGATGTGCCCAACAGTACAAGATGGTTTACTCTCAGCCTGGCAAGAACTCTACCCAGTCTCACTTGCCGGCGCCGCTACTGCACACAGATAGCGTACAAACTGCTGAGGTAGCAGTGTGACAAGTGAGTAACTTGGTGTGACAATGCAGTTGTCCGTTTGCAATATAGAGCGGAGCTAGCATATTAATCCAATACTTTTCCAAAGTCAATGCCACATCTGTTCCTCGTAAATAAGATTAAATACTTGCAGTATCCAATGTCAATGGTATATTTGGTTCATATAAATTGAATGTCTATTTACGGTATTCAAAGTCATTTATAAGTCTGGTTCACGTAAATGAATTGTCTACTTGCAGGAACCAAAGTAGAGGTGGGTCGGTATTTCAGTAACCAGTATTTTGTAAATGTTACTCGGTGTAGTCAAAAGTAACTATTTTTGTATCTCTTGCTGTTCTCGTACTGGTTTAGAGCGCTGTTTGCTTGCGGTTCATTTTCAAACTAAAATACTGGTTACAAGGATCCAATAGTCAATGTTGCAAGTCAGTATTTTTGTATCTGTACTCGTCTCGTACTGGTCTAGGAGCGATGTATGCGGTTCATTCACAAACTACTCGAGTGACAGTAGACAACTGATCCAGATCCAAATCGTCTGCTCTGCTCTGCCGGCTCTGTGTACATAACCTAACTAGCCCTTGCAAAATACTAAACCCATAACGAGCCAATAATTGAAATATATGGTTTAGTTTTTATTTAAAGTTGATTTAGTTAGCCAATTTGAGTTACCTTTTTAGGGTTTCTGTTAAAGTTGATTTAGTTAGCCATCAATTTGGAGTTACCTTTTTTATTTAAGTTTTTAGTTAACATTTTGACAGCATTGTTGTGCATTATTTCAGTTGTGTGAATGTAAAAGCCTTCTAGCATGGATAACAAAAGAGAATCGAGGGATAATTGGCATATTTTCTATACAATAGATCTAGTTGAGTGTATTGCCACCTGCAAGATGAGCCATTCTACTTTGTCATTTAAGGGGTCCGCTTCTAACCAAAACAACCAAAAAACATTTGCAAAGAAGACAGTAACAGAACAGTAATTCCACCAACTGACATCAGCTGTAAAAGCTCATAGCCCAGTAACTTTCAAAGCCAATAAACCCTGTCACCCCTGCTCAGTCATTGAATCACTTTCGTCAGTACAAGAGGTAGGTACTTCCACTTCCAGTTCCAACTAATCAATACAAGGTAACATCTAATCGGGTGTGGTCACCCGATAGAACTCGACATATCTAATGTTGGAACGAATAACTGCCCTTGAAGAAGCAGTAAAACACTCTCTTGCGCTTTTAGACTCACTTAAACCAGGAACCAGGCTGAAAACAAGTCTAAAGCACTGTGGCAAACAATAAACCGAGAAAGAGAAGCGAGATCAAATACTGAAAACCAAATCCATCTTCAAGTCAACAATAATACAATGGACGACCCAATAGAAGTTTCAAACAGTTTTAATGATTTTTTCTCATCAATAGCCGACCAAAATAACAATAACTCTAGAACCAATGCCTTAACAGACCACTTACCAGCAACACATCACACACTCCAGTTCAGACGGGTCACACAAGAAGAAGTGCAAAAGCCATTCAATCTTGAAATTCATCCGGAACTGATGAGGAATCAGCTAAACTTCTAAAAAATTGTAAAAATGAAATAGTAATACCCCTGACAGACCTCATAAACAAATCACTCTCACGAGGAAAATTTCCAGATAAATTAAAAATAGCTTAAGTTTACCCAAAATACAAAAAATGGACCAACGATAGAAAGAAATAGCTGCAGACCAATCGCCCGAATATCAACGTTTTCATAAATAATCGAAAAGATAGTAAGATACTAGCTCAACTCCTACACCATCTTCAAGAACACAACCTTCTCAATTGTCAACAACATGGATTTATCAAAGGCAGATCGACAGCCACAGCCTTAATACATATGAAATGTTTTATGTTAGTACATATTTAAAGTAAGGTTTCTGCATTCATTGTGTTTATTTCTTTGTCTAATGTTAGTTCAGATGAAATTGATCAGTGAACTGAGCTTCAAGACAAACAGTCCTAGTTTTCATTGTCTGTGCCCTTTCTTGCATCGAACTTTAAAGTCAAGACCACTGAGGAAAGAAGATTAATTCAATAAGCGAGATGATGCCATTTATGGTAGAGCACGTCCTGGATGAAAGATAAGTGACAATGGTTCATTATCTAATATAATTTTGGTTCTTTACGAGATTGAATCTATTACCGAAAATTTAATTGTAAAAATGTGTGACTGCGTAGATGATATTCAGAGCTTCTCTATCAAGTTGGCTGTAATTGGTTTAAGAATGAGTCAATAATCTGGATGCATATGCAATATTGGTCTCTCTTGGCCATCGATATCATCACTGAGTATTGCACCAATTCCAGTTGGGCTAGCGAGAATAACTAGTTTTTATGGGACAAAATTAATAAGAACAGTATCACTACATAATGTTCAAAAGGAATGATCATTATAACATAAGCTCTTCTTTATAGACATGTAATCAAATACCAGAACTTTATTTTTTCCCTTGTGCTGAATTTTTATTTTAACAAATTCAATAAATCTTCGGATATTCCTGTATTTAAATCTAGAATCTTTACACCACCTTTGCATTGTTCCGGTATCTGGAAAAGACAATTTTTAATATCTCGTAAGCTGTTGTATAGCGCTGCGCTGGTGACCGGTAGTGCATTTCTATCGACAGTTGTTTCTCTTCTTCACTCCAGCTGGTTTGCTTTTTGTGGAACATTTCCATTCTCAAAAGAGTCTTCTTAGGGTATCGCTTTTAATATACTGACTGGCAGCTAAGAAAACAGCTTCTTTAACGTTATTTCTCTTCTGTAACATTGCTTCAAGCTATGAAGGTTTTTCTTTTTTTAACCATATTTTTATAGCTTAACTTCCCTACGGGTTTCAATTGAGTTGAAAGCGGTCGATGCCGCTGTTAAATTGTCATGTCATGAAGTGGCTTAGTTGCTTTTCATTTTACCGGTGTATCTGTTGGGTTACATGTGGTTTCTGTTGATGTTAGTGGAAATTCAAAACCTACAACATTGACTGTGGAAATACAGGTGAATTTATCGCTGGTGATGAAGGACGTGCTACAGCGAGACAGTGGGGATCGGCTGTAGTGAGTGCAGACTGCTGAGTAACAACCGGTGTATATCTGTAGTCCATTACTAGTCGTGTTGGCACAGCCTCCTTATTTAGTTTACTTCTGATATTACTTGTAAAGCAGTTGGGTTCAAAATGCAGTTCACACACTAAACGTGAATGTAAACGTGAAAGGCAAGAAGGCCTTTCAGTTTTTCTTTAGCTGTGTTTGCTACCTATTTATCACATACACTCTTATTTTTAATAGGAAATTTGAAAAATCTCAAAATTGGACTGTTAATGCGAGTAGACAGACAACAAATAAAAGATCACTTCTTAATACCTCACATTGTTCAAGGAAGTATACACATCATAATACAATCGTAATTCACTACACACGTTCTTCACTCTTCTTCTAAACTTCTAGTTAGTTTTATAGTTGTGATATCTCCTAATGAATAAAAAAGCACAAATAAAGGATAACCATAACACAATAAAAATAGCAAAAAATACGTAAACATATAATAGCTGCGGTCATATCGGCAATTAAGTCTTAAGTTGTGAAAACATTCGCTAGGCCAAACACGGAATTTGATATCACAAAAATGGCTTGGCTGCAATATCTATTTTGTGTAGATATGTAATATTTGGTATTAGTTACAAAAGCTCTAACAGCAACCAGGTGGTAGCAGGAGAGGAAAAGAGATGGCAGGAGGGTACAGAAACATCACCAATGTTTACTATTAGTAAAAGTCACGGTTGTTGATGTTTTTGTTATTGTTGTTTTTACCATTGGCAATGTTGTTGATATTTTCACCGTTCTTGATTATGTTATCCTCATATTGTCAATATTGTCTGCGCTACTACCACTGTCACTACTTTCTGTATTATTGTCATTTTCACTACTGTCAATGTCAATGTCATTATAACTGACAATACTGATCACAATAGTTTCAGTGTCACTGTTGTTCATACCACTAACTGTGACACTGATAGTACTACGAACAACAGTTGATTTTTAAGACTCTTTAGATAATGGAAATGTTCCACAAAAAGCAAACCAGCTGGAGTGAAGAAGAGAAATAACTGTCGACAGAAATGCATTACCGGTCACCAGCGCAGCGCTATACAACAGCTTACGAGATTTTAAAAATTGTCTTTTCCAGATACCAGAACAATATATAGGTGGTGTAATGTAACTAAATCTTCTAGTTTTAAATACAGGAATATCCGAAGATTTATTGAATTTGTTAAAACAAAAAGTCAGCACAATGAAAGAAATGGGAAAAATACAGTTCTGGTATTTGATGACATATCTATAAAGAAGAGCTTATGTTATAATGATAATTCCTTTTGAACATTATTAGTCCAGGAAATATAGATTTTGTCTAGGAAAAAATTAAAGTCCAGATTTTTTTTTTCATGGACTCCACTTTTTCCATTGTTTTGACCGCAAATGTGAGAACCGTGTCATCCGCGTACATGGTGGTGTGTCCATCTTCCCCAATTCAACTGGGTAGGTCATTTGTGAGAAGGAGGAAGAGGACTGGGCTAAGTACTGATCCTTGGGTACTCCTCTTTGCACGTCCACAGCTTTGGATTGGGCCTTATACTTTGTGTTGTTCTTTATGTAGGCTAATTCCACAAGCTGTTTCCGGTTACTAATGTAGCTTTTAAACCATTCTGCTGCTCTTCCTCTCACACCTAGTGTTTACAGCATGAGTGGAAGAAGTTCGTGGTGTAGGCAGTCGAGTCGAAAGCTTAACTAAAATCTAAGAAGAGACTTGAGGTTCTGCCTTCTTTTAGTTGGTCTAGTATGTGATCCGTCAGTTGTATTAAGACTGTGGCTATCGATCTGCCTTTGATAAATCCATGCTGTTGACTATTGAGAAGGTTGTGTTCTTGAAGATGGTGTAGGAGTTAGGCTAGTACTATATTTTCGATTATTTTTGAAAACGTTGATATTAAGGAGATTGGCCTGTAGCTGTTTCTTTCTCTTGTTGGTCCATTTTTGTATTTTGGGTTAACTTAAGCTATTTTTAATTTATCTGGGAATTTTGCTTATGAGGGTGTTTTATTTATGAGGTCTGTCAGGGGTATTAGTATTTCATTTTTACAGTATTTTAGAAGTTTAGCTGATACCTCATCAGTTCCGGATGAATTTTTCATCTTTAGAGATTGAATGGCTTTTTGCACTTCTTCTTGTGTGACCCGTTTGAACTGGAGTGTGTGATGTGTTGCTGGTAAGTGTTCTGTTAAGGCATTGGTTCTTGAGTTATTGATATTTTGGAGTGTTCGGTCGGCTATTGATGAGAAAAAATCATTAAAACAGTTTGAAACTTCTATTGGGTCGTCTATTGTTTTATTGTTGACTTGAAGATAAATTTTGTTTTCTGTATTTGATCTCGCTTCTCTTTCTCGGTTTATTGTTTGCCACAGTGCTTTAGACATGTTTTCAGCCTGGTTCCTGGTTTATGTGAGCTGTGTTGTTTTCTTTCCGAAGCATTTCTAAATGCTGGTCGTACTCTTTTTTTTTAAATAGCTGTTCTAGTTTTGTCTTCCATAAATCCGGTTGTTTGCTCCTTTTCTAAGGCCTTTATATTTTTAAGTCTAGCCGATTCTTGATTCTTGCACTGTCTCCTTTTATGTTGTTTAACTCTTGACGTTTTAAGAGGGCAGGCATGGTTTAGTGTTGTCTGGATGATGTTGCTGAAATTGTTGAAGGCTTTATTTACGTCATGAGTTTGTATTATAGTTTCGCAGTCTTGTTCTTGTAGTTGTGTCTTAAAGTTATTTATTGTTGTTTTGTTGAAGATTCGTTTATTTTTTATGTTGTTGATTATCGGTTTTCTAGTGATTATTTTTCGATTTGTGCGGTATGGTCAGATAGTCCTGATGTTATAACTGAGATTTCTATTGGTTCATTATCAATGTTTAAGGATATCCAGTCTATTGATGTTTCTGAGTCGTCACTCGTAATTCAAGTGGGGGGTAGCCTCAGTCTTGAGATATCAAAGGAGGTTAGTTCTTCAATTTTTTCGTTTTCATTGTCATCAACTAGGTTGTATAGATTGATGTACCCCATTATTCATGTTTGCTTATCCGTAGTGAGCACTGTTTTCAGTTGTTCAGAGAGTATTTTTTGTGACATACAATCGACCGAAATGGAATACATCCTACTGAAGAAAAAATAAAAGCCATACGAGAGGCACGGTCACCTACTAATGTCAAGGAACTCCGATCATTTTTAGGTTCTATTAACTACTATGAACGATTTATTCCGGGACTTCATGCCATTTGTAGTGATCTCCATAAGCTGACTGGAACTAACTCTAAATGGAAATGGTCTGAACATGAAGAGGTGACGTTTAAAAGAGAAAAGAAAATTCTATCAAGTAAAGACACAGTAGTACCATATGAAGAAATGAGACCATTGGTAATGGTCTGTGATGCATCAGAAAATGGATTGGGAAGTGTACTAATGCACAGATTCGAAAATGGACTAGAAAGACCAATTGCTTTTGCAAATCGCACACTACTGCCTGCTGAAAAACAATATTCAAATATCGACAGAGAAGCACTAGCTATTATCTTTGGACTCAGGAAATTCCATCAATATGTATATGGTCGGAAGTTCACTTTGGTAACCGACCACAAACCTCTACAACGGATATTTGGAAAAATGTGAGATCTCCCAAAAGTAGTAAATAGCCGTTTAATCAGGTGGGCGATCCAGTTGAATCAATACAACTGAAATAATGAAATAATGAATTTATTTCCTCCAATAAAAACATACAGTAGATACAAAATTGGCTTGGAAATTAACTGGCCACTTTATCCAGTACATGTGGCCAGTGTACAAAGAAACTTATCAGTGAGTCCAGTCTTCCACTTAATTGATTACAAGGTCGCCGCTGCCTGTGACGATCATTTTCTTAAAAATTAAAACTTAACTTTAACTTGTTATGTAACAGAAAATAAAAGTATCTTTTTAACAAAAATTGAATATCACTAATAAATATTACTTAAAATAACATACTTCTATACAATTTACAATGATGAAATTCAAACAGCCTATTGCAAAATACTCCTGAGACGCCAAGTATCCTCAATTTTAAATAACCAATCTTTCACTTTATTTGAAAATAGGTTAATAGAATTGCATGTTTTTATTTCAATTGGTAATTGATTGTAGATGAAAGGACCTAGAAATAAAAACGAATGTTTAAAAATCTCTTTGTTGACCTTGGGTGTTCTAACAATCATTTTATCTATTCTTCTCGTGTTGTAGTAAAGGTCTTCAGTTCTATTATTCCCACTTTGCATGAAAAAAGCTTTTAAAACCTTAAAATTATAAAGGTTTTGAATTGGCATTATTTTCATCTGTTGATAAAGAGGAAAAGAACTTTCTCTTCGCCGTTTTCTTAATATTATGCGCAAAAAATGATTCTGAGTGGTTCTTAATCTATTTATAAAAGTTTTAAATGTTCCGCCCCAACAAATTAGCCCATACTGTAATCTTGAATTTATTAATGCATGATATAATGTTTTTAATAAAGATTCTTCACAAATATTTTTTAAAAAGTAAAACTTCCTTATTGATTGTTTAATTTTTGAATGAAGATCCTGAATATGTTTTTCCCATGTAAATTTACAATCAAAAGTTACTCCTAGATATTTAAAAGAATTGACTTTTTCAATTTGTTTGCAATTACAAGGAGGTCCCTGACAGGTGTCTTGGTGGTAAATAATTGGAGAAATAAAATCAAAACCTCGAAAATCAAAATTAATGTATTTGGTTTTGCTAGCGTTTACTAGCATTTTATTTTTCACACACCAATTTTGTAAAACATTCAAATCATTGTCTATCATTGTCTTTAGTATATCCCTGTTTTTGTGGGAATAAAAGAAGCCAATATCATCTGCAAAAGCTTGAATATATCCATTAAACTGTTTAATTAGTAGGTCGTTAATGAAAATGAGGAAGAGAATTGCAGAGGTAACCGAGCCCTGTGGAACCCCGACCGTGACAGGTGCAGGAGCGCTAAGGCAGCCCGCGACCCGCACCCGCTGCTCCCTGCCAGACAGGAAGCTGCGGAACCATCGGAGCGCCACACCTCTGATACCTGCTGCCTCTAATTTTTGAAGCAAGATGTTGTGGTTTACTAGGTCAAAAGCTTTCGTAAAATCAACAAAGAGACCCGTGGTTTTTTTACCTTCATTGAGACTTTCATAAATTTTATTTGTAAAGTTCAAGAGTGCGTCCTCCATGGATTTTCCGCGTTGGAAACCAAATTGCGCTTTTGATAAAAACATAATTTTGTCCAGATACTTAACAACTCTCTTAACCATTATTTTTCTATAACCTTAGAAAAAACAGAGATTAAACTAATAGGTCTTATATTCATAATCATTATTGAATTGGATTTCTTAAATATAGGAGTGATAATACTTAACTTTAACATTTCAGGAAAAATGCCTTGGCTAAAACTTAAATTAACAATATGTGTCAAAACAGGGGCTAATTGCTGTGCAGTGCTTTTAACGAAAAAAGTACTAAATTTATCAAAGCCTGAAGATTTTTTATTTCTCAAGCTGTTTATTGTATTAATGATTTCAAACTCATTTGTTGGTTCAACAAAGAAAGATTGACAGTGTCGGTGGAGACCTAATTCTACTAACTATGACATAGAGTACAGAAAAGGAGAAGATAACGTGTGTGCTGACGTTCTATCAAGACTTCCGATTGAAGAAGATCCAACCTGAGGAGGCTCACATTGGTTTTTTGAATGTTGATAAGGTTAACACTATCATGTCTTATGACCTTTTAAAACAAAATTCATTGACAGATAAAGCTATTAGAATGGCAAAAAACTTTACATTGAGGAATACATGGCCCTCTGTTGTTCCTGAAATGTTAAAGTCGTACAAACAGAGAAAAGATGAATTGAATGTTGAAGATGATATATTATTGTGGTTTGGAAGAATCGTAGTTCCAGAATGCATGAGAACTGATGTACTGAAGATATTGCATGCAGGACATCCTGGTATTGCATCAATGAGGTCTGTTGCGCGACACTATGTGTGGTGGCCCAACATGGATAAAGATATCGAAGTTTATATCAAGAAGTGTACATCTTGTCAAGAGAATAGAGATAATGTGGAAGAAGTACCATTATATCCTTGGAATGTACCTGATAGAGTTTGGGAAAGGGTACACATTGATCTGGCAGGGCCAGTCAACGTATCTATGTGGTTGGTAGGTATTGATGCGTTGTCTAAGTGGGCAGAAGTGGACTGTCTTAAGACAACAAACTCTTATACAATCATTCAACGATTAAGATCTTGGTTTAGTCGATATGGATTACCAAGTGAAATTGTGACAGACAACGGACCTCAATTTGTGTCAAAGGAAATTGAAACATTCTTCCAGAAAAATTCTATCAACCACATAAAAACAACTCTGTACCATCCTAAAAGTAATGGACTTGTTGAAAGACTAATTCGTACATTGAAAAGACGGTACTACACAACAAAGCAGGAGGTCGGAGATGGAATGCTAGCTCTTTAAAATGTTCTTTTTAGCTACCGAAACTCGCCTCAGAAAACAACCGGTAGGGCTCCGGCAGAATTGTATTTCGGACTACCAACAATTTTTGACAATATGAAACCTAATCTTAGGAAAAAGATGGAAATGAAGCTTTGAAAAGAACAAGGGAGAGACAACAAGGAAGTTCGTACTTTTGAAGAAGGAGAAGATGTGTGGATTAAGAATGAACATGGAAATGGTTGGTCAGCTGGAATGGTGAAAAATAGAAATGGACTGTATTCATATGATGTACTTTGTGGAGGTGTTATAAAAAGAAAGCATGCCGACCAGATGAGACAAAGAATGGGAGCTGTAGAATCTGCGTAAAAAGGAGGGGAAAAGTGTTAGATAGTTAAATCTGTAAGTGATTAATTCATCAGCTGATTTATTATTATTAAGTTTGTTAGTAAATATTCTGTTTACATTGATGTGTTTAAGAATTAAATAAAATGGTTCTTTTGTATTTTGAATATCATTTAGTGTAATTCTATAGTGCCATTTTGTCACCAATACTTAGTAGTTTAACACATACAATTTTTTAACACTAACTTCGTTCCACTCTGTATATCTTAAGGTTTAGGCTCAGTCCGCAGTGTAATCACATGCATAAGGACTCATCATTGCCCACCTCAAGATTACAAATTGGGCTTCAACTTTGCAGCCTTTTTAATCAATTTATGTGGTATCTAGTATTTACAATAGATCTATATATATCCACTATTAGATTAGGGCAACTTTTAGGTTTAGATTGCTGTGGCCCTGCATACAAAGTGGCAAAATATATACTGCCCACCAATCAGTCTAACTTTCCCATGAGGCATATCCTTACGGTCTAGTACTTACCTTGTAAGTTGCCACTCACATTCAAATATGCACCCGCTATACACGAAAAGGATCACCCACAACGACTATCAGTATGACTTATCGGTTAGGTTGTACCTACTGATTCACCACATACCTATAAGACTATATGCTCGACAATAGCTTTTACCCTTCGAGGTAAACACAAACTATCCATTCACAACCACTTTTACTGGTGACGTTAAAAGATAATTGTATTTGGAAAGCAAACAAATTAATCATGTGTCAAGATGTGTTGACTTATGAGGTTGTTTTAGTCTTACCTTGTGGTACAGTTGAGAATTGAAACACAACGTCACAAAGCCTTCTGCTCTTACTAAATTACCAAAACAGTCAATTACTTTGTTGATCGATAGCTCAATCGCTACTAGTTTAGGGATGATTTTAAACTTTTTGAGAAAAGAAGGGAGGAGCGAGTTCTGTTCTCATTTTGATTATAAAAATGCATAAAGCATAATAATCATAATAATAATTTTATTTTGTCTGTATGAGAGTACTAGGTTCATAGACCGTTTAAGCTTTGTGGATTAATATGATATGTTTCCTGGAAAATTTTTCTAATTTTGCTATCTTTCCCACCAGAAAAAGAAGATATCCTGGAGGGGATGAGAGTGTCTGGAACATGTGGTTCTGAGCAGAGTCACAGGACGAGAGTGTCAGTCACGTGTTGAGAGCTCCATGTGACACAACGTCAATCAAGGAGGACCCTGAGGACATCTACATTGTTGAATAAAGGCGATAGGACTCTAAAGGTGTGATAAAAAAGTCCACAGTAAAAGGGATTTATGGTGAAGCAGAAGCCTAAAATCATAGATTGAAATTTTGTGGCTTTCCAGCCGGGGCTTAGTAGCTTTGATTATGAATATCTTGTGGTAGACATTATGTTCGTAAAAATTGTACGGTAGCCAGTTTTAAAGATTTTGATTTGAGCCACTGTTAGAGAGCTATGTGAGAAATATGCTACTGTACAATGTTGTAATATTGTCGACAGTAGGAGTACATCTATATTCTGATTCCATTTCCATAACCATGGCCACACTCTTGGTTGTCAAATTCCCTGCAACTTGGACAGAAACCGAGTAGCATAAAGATTATCTCTCAGTTTTTAGTGCAAAGATGGTTTATATCGGATAGGTTTTGTTTTGAGCTAAATAGCCTGTCCTCACATGGAATAATGTATGATGTTGATCCATTCTTAAGCCAGGCTCAATATCACATACTTTTGGGACATATTTGAACCTAGATATTGAACCTTTTATGACTTTTAATAGACAGACTTATTTTTGTAAGAATGTATTTTTGAAAGTAAAAAGAAAACCCACAAAAACTGATCTGTAAATAGCCAGGACATATTAAATGTAAGTAAAAAACGGGCCAAAATGATATGAAACTATAAGTAACATCTGTTGAAAACTTGGTGTAAAGTTTAATTATTCTATGTTTAAGGGTTTAGAATAGTAAATATTTCTGGGACTTTCTTTACAAAAACAATTTTAAAAAATCAGTAGTTTAAACTAATGTAAATAGGTTGTGTAAGTATAGCATTTACTTGAAATGTATTTTTATTTTAAATAAATAAGCTATAGAAGATGAATTTGTGGTATTATTACTGTCATTTGAAAAAATACTGTGTCTTGAACCTAGAAATACACCAACCTCAGACAACCTGGCTAATTAACAAACATAATGACTCTCTCCCCCTCCCAATTATGACGAGATTACACAAAACTTGTTCTGTAAGTATTACTTGACATAGTGTTACTGGTATTAATTAAGTTTACAGCACAGCTGATGATTGGCTAATGGCTATCAAAACGTTTGTTAAGAAGAATTTTACTGACACAATTATCAATTATCAATTATTTAAGATGGGGACGCCACTATGTGCGTATTTTAACCCAAATATGAGTGAAGGATGAGTGTAGGATGAGTGGCGCGATCTTGTAGTCTTGTTAGTGACTAAGGCCGACATGTTCCTTAGACACAGCTGTTAATTAATAGCCCATACAGCTAATGGCAACTAAGGGACCTACAGTTTATAGTGGAATCCGAACCACATTTTTCCTTGTAATTTACGAATTGGACAGATCCAAAAAATCGTTTTATATTAATCTGATCATAAACTCAGCTTCTGGATACAGGCCATTTCATCTATAGCCTTAAAAATATAAAATTAAATTAAATTAAATATTGGGAACTAAGAAATTTGTAATTAAGGTATGAGCCTGTGTTAACTAGAAATATTGAGATGTATGAAGAAAACAATCTAAATACTTACTCCTTTCCTAAGTAGGGACTGGTAGAAACAAAGTTTTTATTTTACAGTTTGAATATAAATAGTTTAGTTTTAATTCCTCTTAGGTACAGAGTACAAACACCCCACATATTTTACTAAGCTTTTAAGCTGTAGCCCAAGATAATATACTTGAGCTCAATGCTGTTTTGGTGAAGGTAGTAGGCCTACTATGGGGATTTCTAAATCCCACAAAGCTAGCGTTGAGTAAGGGTTGATTAATATTTGGTATCATAATCCCATTTTGTAGTGCTAAAACTACAAATTTATCTTTGCGATAAAAAGGTAAAGATGATTGAGTCATATTATATAATAAAATGGCAACGTTTTATTTACAGATTATACAGTCTAGATTATTGTTCAGTCCCCAGTCATGAACATGTGGACAGGACGGTCTGATGTCAACATTCTGGAGGTTCGATCAGAGCCTACAATGGCCGCCAGTTGTGGGGCATCATAGCGAGTGTACATTACACTGACACTGAGTGACCCCTCTCCAACGTCCTTGTCAGTCTGAAAAAACATCAGTTACCAATAACACATTATGGTCATACAATGGCCGCCAGTTGTGGAGCATCATAGGGAGTGTACATCACACTGACACTGAGTGACCCCTCTCCAACGTCCTTGTCAGTCTGAAAAAACATCAGTTACCAATAACACGTTATGGTCATACAATGGCCGCCAGTTGTGGAGCATCATAGGGAGTGTACATCACACTGACACTGAGTGACCCCTCTCCAACGTCCTTGTCAGTCTGAAAAAACATCATTTACCAATAACCCGTTATGGTCATACAATGGCCGTCAGTTGTGGAGCATCATAGGGAGTGTACATTACACTGACACTGAGTGACCCTTCACCAACGTCCTTGTCAGTCTGAAAAAAACATCAGTTACCAATAACACATTATGGTCATACAATGGCCGCCAGTTGTGGAGCATCATAGGGAGTGTACATCACACTGACACTGAGTGACCCCTCTCCAACGTCCTTGTCAGTCTGAAAAAACATCAGTTACCAATAACATGTTATGGTCATACAATGGCCGCCAGTTGTGGAGCATCATAGGGAGTGTACATTACACTGACACTGAGTGACCCTTCACCAACGTCCTTGTCAGTCTGAAAAAACATCAGTTACAAATAACACATTATGGTCATACAATGGCCGCCAGTTGTGGAGCATCATAGGGAGTGTACATCACACTGACACTGAGTGACCCCTCTCCAACGTCCTTGTCAGTCTGAAAAAACATCATTTACCAATAACCCGTTATGGTCATACAATGGCCGCCAGTTGTGGAGCATCATAGGGAGTGTACATCACACTGACACTGAGTGACCCCTCTCCAACGTCCTTGTCAGTCTGAAAAAACATCATTTACCAATAACCCGTTATGGTCATACAATGGCCGCCAGTTGTGGAGCATCATAGGGAGTGTACATCACACTGACACTGAGTGACCCCTCTCCAACGTCCTTGTCAGTCTGAAAAAACATCAGTTACCAATAACCCGTTATGGTCATACAATGGCCGCCAGTTGTGGAGCATCATAGGGAGTGTACATCACACTGACACTGAGTGACCCCTCAGTCACCAACGTCCTTGTCAGTCTGAAAAAACATCAGTTACCAATAACACGTTATGGTCATACAATGGCCGCCAGTTGTGGAGCATCATAGGGAGTGTACATCACACTGACACTGAGTGACCCCTCTCCAACGTCCTTGTCAGTCTGAAAAAACATCATTTACCAATAACCCGTTATGGTCATACAATGGCCGCCAGTTGTGGAGCATCATAGGGAGTGTACATCACACTGACACTGAGTGACCCCTCAGTCACCAACGTCCTTGTCAGTCTGAAAAAACATCAGTTACCAATAACACGTTATGGTCATACGATGGCCGTCAGTTGTGGAGCATCATAGGGAGTGTACATTACACTGACACTGAGTGACCCTTCACCAACGTCCTTGTCAGTCTAAAAAAACATCAGTTACCAGTAACACGTTAAGGACATACTATGGCCACCAGTTGTGGGGCACCATAGCGAGTGTACATTACACTGACACTGAGTGACCCCTCTCCATCGTCCTTGTCAGTCTGAAAAAACATCAGTTACCAATAACATGTTATGGTCATACGATGGCCGCCAGTTGTGGAGCATCATAGGGAGTGTACATCACACTAACACTGAGTGACCCCTCTCCAACGTCCTTGTCAGTCTGAAAAAACATCAGTTACCAATAACCCGTTATGGTTATACGATGGCCGCCAGTTGTGGAGCATCATAGGGAGTGTACATCACACCGACGCTGAGTGACCCCTCACCAAAGTCCTTGTCAGTCTGAAAAAACATCAGTTACCAATAACACGTTATGGTCATACAATGGCCGCCAGTTGTGGAGCATCATAGGGAGTGTACATTACACTGACACTAAGTGACTGCTCACCAAAGTCCTTGTCAGTCTGAAAAAACCCAGTTACCAATAACACGTAATGGTCATACAATGGCCGCCAGTTGTGGAGCATCATAGGGAGTGTACATTACACTGACGCTGAGTGACCCCGCACCAACATCCTTGTCAGTCTGACAAACATGACATGTCAGTTACCAATAACATACTCGGAGTCTATTAATCAGGGTACTATAGCAAAGGAATGTGGGGATGAGGGGTATGAGTACTAATGAGGGAGGGGACGCGAAAAGTGGCTCAGCAGTTGGCTTGATAGTACACCATAGGCGCTGGGAAAGAACAGATGGAAATTTGTATGCTAAAAACACAATGCATGTACCAAAATGAAATGTCATCAGATGCTCTAAAAATGTGTATAACAAAAATAGGGAAAGTGAGTGGTTGGTATTATAATAACTGGCCTTCCATGATTATGATCACTCTTAAATTTAATGGTAAGGAAAGGTAGACAATGCTGTGGAGTGTAGGAAACAGTTTGCCGTTTAATATTTGACTACCCTGTGTTAGATGATCAGCAATGCACTTCGATGTCAAGCCCAGTGGAACAATTTTATGGTTAATTAAATGCCTGGACCGATGTGGCCATTGTAGCTGAAAATAAAAATGATCTTAAAGTGATAATAAAATATACTAATAAAAGAAACAAGAAAAGTGGGCTTACAGATAAATGAGATTAAAACAAACTAGGCCTACATGAAAATAACTAGACGAGATGATGAAGAAGACCACTTAGAAGTATTAAACTACAGGTTCCACAAAGCAAACACATTTAAATATCCGGGTGTAACAATCGCAAACAATAACAGGGAAGATGTTGAAATTCAAATCAGACTCACGGCAGAGAAAGTTATTCAAAAGTAAACTTCTATCAAGAACCACCAAAATGAGAATGTATAAAACCATAGTAAAAAGTGTAGGGTGCTATATGGTTCAGAGACTTGGTCTTTCACCAAAAAATCACAAATGAGACTCATTACTTTTGAAAATAAAATATTGAGAAGGATTTCTGGACCAATAAAAGGCGGAGACTCGTGTAGAATAAGAAAAACTAGAGAGTTGAGGGAACTAGATATTGAGGAAGTGGTAATGAATAGAAGGTTGAGGGTGAAGATGGGGTAGGTCTGTCAGAGGTGAGAGAGATATGGTAATGAAAGTGATAAGAGGTACTCCGGAGGGCAGGAGACCATTTGGAAGACCAAGGATGTGATGAATTGGCGAGATAACAAAGGACCTAAAGAGTATGGGAGCAGAACTAGAGCTGGCAGAAGACAAGACAATCCTGGAGGCACATGGTTGGCGAGGCCAAAGACCGCCTTGGTTTTCAATGGCCACAGGAGTAAGTAAATACTTGGAATTTTGAAAAAGCCAACACTCCTTACCACAGAGAAAACACAAAGCTTTCTCAAACAAGGAAGGAACACAAAGGAAAATACCAGTGCACAAAAATCCCATCCTTGGTATTTGTATTGAAACAATGAATTAAAAAAACTATGAAAGTACAATAATTGTTGTTCTATGACTATGCCTTTTATAAGTTCAAATACTTTTCTTGAACCAAACATTTGTTTCTATATAGCATGAATGAAGAAGTGACAAGAGGTAACTGGGTTCATCAGACAAGAAGCTGAACACTTAAACTACTCTGCTAATGTACTGACCTGCATCAAATTACACAGCTCACTGTAGAAGTGGGGTATGGTGGGAGGCTGGTAGAAGACAATGTGTCTGATTCCCTTCAGACGAATCCTGCGGAAGAAGTGGAACCTCTCACTGTACAGCAGAAAGTGTGCACTGGAGTGGAAAAACATGTCTCTCGCCCTCGCTATTTTTCCATCCTGAAATTTTAAAATTCCAACAATCATTCATGAATGAAATAACTTAACATATAATTTGTTGTACACCTTAGTGCTATGAAAATTTTAGAAAAAAAACCCAAAACAAATATAATCTTATGTTGTTATCACTTATCATGGTACAATAATTCAGACTCGTAACGTGTCTTGTCATTAATAATAATTAATCAAGTTTCAAGAAGCCAAAAAGCATTATTAATTTGCATATCAGAAACTAAATGGTTTTGAAGGCATACAAATAATTGTGAGTGAAGATGTAAAATATATATTCAGGCTTTGAAATAAAACCAAAACCTTTTTTTGCGTCTAATATATTCCTACATGAAAAAGGGCAGCACTTGCTGTAAAAACTACAAATTGTAAATCTCAAAATTAGCTTAACCCCTTCGTCGTGCTCCCGTGAGCCATTGTGTGAAGCGACGGCGAATCCATTATTTGCATTACTTGGTTATTATGGCGTCCGCCATTAAAACCAGTATTTGCCGAGTTAGTTCCCAAACAATCCAACAGATCGCATATGCTTCTTGTTCTGCGAGATTCTGGCTTTCATTTGATTGTATTTTTGTCGTCCACAGCCTGCCCAATCGGCAAAAACAATCGATTGAAAATTATGATTTACCAGCTGACGTTGGGAACGTTGTCTTGGCAGCTGTCTGTCTTGTTTGTTTACATCGTCATTTCACAACAGTGTTTATATCATGTTGAATTATATTTTTTGTTTGGAAATAGTTGTTTTATGAAATAAGATGAGTAACTTTTTATTTGTTGATGAGTGTGGAAGGGAATTGGACGAGAGTGAAATTGCTAAACTTATTAGTGAATGTGACAGAGTGACTCAGACAGTAATGGTTATTTGTTTGAAGAAAGACTTGAGAGTGACGATGAATTGGAAATAAACAATGAACACGTAAGTGAAGCATGCAATAGTATAAGTATTGCTGACTGTGAACCTCAAGATTTAGCTGATAATGGTGTGACAGAGCATGCTAGCCCTAGGCCTGTAATAAATAATGATTGTAATATGTTTCATATTGACACTTGATTTATGTTCTTTGCATTTATTTATTGTCATATGTTTTTTGTTATTAATTGCAATTATTGTGAATTTGTTTGCTGTTTATCTTGTCTTTATAAATTGCAAATACAGTCCTTTTTGATTTGTAATAGTCTTACATTATTTCTACATTTGGTGCCGAAACCCGACTTTTTCATGTCAATAAGAAGATCAGAGAGGGAAAGACACCCTCCAGACAGATATACTCCAGTAATTGGGTATAACAACGACAAAACTGTTAATCCAAAGCCAAGTAAAGACCAACCATCAGTTTCTGCCAAATCTAGTACTCCTTCTAGTAGACGACGATTAATGGAAGTGGAGTTGAAGAGGCTGGAAGAAATACAGAAATTGGAAAGAGCTCATGAAGAAAGAGAAATGGAGCGACAACGACAAATGGAAGCTTGAGAACTAGAGCGACAGAAACAACTGCCGACGGCGAGAGCTGAGCTTGAGTCTGCTTCAGTGTGTGGCAGTCAACAGTCAAGCCGCCCTAGTAATCGATCTGAAACCAAGGTAGGACTTAGTGTAAATCTTGATGATGATGAAGAACCGCAAAGCAAGGTTGAAAGGTGGTTGAATGAAAAAGAACCAACAGTTCTTAAGTCCTCATCAGGCATCATGACCTCAGCCGTGCAAAAGCTTGCGGATACCTTCCAAAAAGCCATACAGCCTGTTTCATTTCGTCAAAAGCTCCCAAGCTTCAGTGGCAAGGCTGATGAATGGCCGATATTTTTTTCGGCGTATGAAAAAACTGTCTATCTTTTTAGTGAGGATGACAACCTCATAAGAGTAAGGAATTGTCTAGAGGGAGAAGCATTTCGAATGGTTAAGCCTCTTTTTGTCTCAAGTCAAAAACTTAAGTCAATTATCAAGACCTTACAGATGCGTTTTGGTAGACCAGAACTCATTTTGGAGTCAATGTTAAAAAAAACTCGTAGGCTACCTTCTGTCAAGGAAGACGACACTACAAGTCTTGTTGAGTTTTCGACAAATGTTTTGAATTTTACTGCTACAGCAGAGTCATTACACCTAGAAAATTATGTATTAAATCCTTACTTACTAAATGAATGTATCAACAAACTTCCCTATAGTTTAAAATACAGGTGGGCTGAGCATGTAAGTAATAATGCTCTAAGCAATACCAACCTGAAGGAGTTTTCCACTTGGTTTGGTGCATTGGGAAAAACAAAGCAAAAGCGTAGCAGACTGACTAAGCGGAGCAAATAGGAAGATGACGCAAGAATGAAAACATGGAATCATGGAGAGATGGAATTTGAAACTTATAATTTATAAAATTAATTTTGTTTAGTAGAAAGTGAATTGTTTGTTTGTAGAGTGTTGAAGATCTGATTCTGTTTGTGGTGTTGAAACTGGTGAATAACAACTGCAGTATAAAGTTGAATTCATTTAAATATTACCACAGAGAGTGGTGAAATAAGTAAATGTCATAGAAACTAGGGTAGAATAAAACGTTAGTTCAATTAAGATATTGACGTTGGATTTTATTTTTAGATAAGGTCTACTTCGTTTTGGTTCACTTTAAGTTTTTAAGTAATACTTTAAGTGACGAGTGACTTAGGCTATGCAATGAGTGAAGACGATGATGATCCTGGTTTGCCTAGACATAACCAAGCTCAGGGCAGTAGGCCTACAGTAGGCTCTGCGGAAACGCAAGATCGAGGTAGTACCAGTGGGACTTCTGGGCTTTTGTTTAATACTAAAACCAAGACGACAAATTGGAAATATTTCCATAAAGATGACAAGGATTCCAGTAAGGCTATTTGTAATGTATGCCAAGCCAAAATAGGCATAAAGACAGGCAGTACAACAAGCCTGCAGAGGCACTTAATTGCAAAACACAAAAACCAGGCAGATCATTTTCAAAGTCGAAGCAAAAAAAGACAAAAAAAGATGACAAAAAACAGCAAACCTTAGGGCAATGCCTGGACATGCAAACGACTTGGCCATCTGACCATCCCAAGGCAAAATCATTAACAAACAAGATAGGTATATGGATGGCCAAGAATCTCCACCCATATTCCCTAGTAGAGGAAGAAGGGCTAGTTGATGTGCTTAAGGAAGCCTCTCCGAAATATAAACTGCCTTCTAGGAATACTTTTTCAAGACGGGTAATACCCGAACTTTATGAAACAACCAAGCTAAATATTTCTTAAGAAATCGAAAATGATCTCACCAATGTGATGACATTAAGTTTTACAACAGATTTATGGACATCAAGAAGTAACGATCCCTTTATTTCCTTAACCCTCCATTACGTGTCAAACGAATACAAGATGAAACAATTTTTTCTAGGGAATGAATATCTGCCCGGTGAGCACGATGGTCCTCACATCGCAGAGGAAATCAAACAGATTGCAACCGAATGGGGGATCCAGGATGAAACAGTTCCCATATTTCCAGTAACAGACAATGCTGCAAATATGGTGGCAGCCATGAGACTCCTGCCATGGACACGTGTAACATGTTTTGCGCACACACTACAACTGGCACTAAAAGACGCAAAGAAAAATACAACTGGAATGATGAGTATGCTGTCTACAGCCAGGTCTATAGTAGGCCATTACAAAAGAAGTTCATCGGCCCAACAGAGACTTCATTCCTATCAAAAAAATCTAGGCAAGAGAGAAGTCGAGTTAGTTCAAGGATGCGAAACTCGTTGGAACTCGGAGTACCAGATGCCCAGTCGTCTGGTACAACAAAAAGAGGCCATTTCTGGTGAGTTGATATCGTCAAGGAGCAACATTAACAACCTGTCCATTACCGAGTGGAAGATGGCTGAGGAGTACATTGACATACTATGCCCTCTAGACGAGGCAACTACTAAAGCGTCAGCCAGCAAGTTGCCGACTATGTCTATGGTTTATCCATTAGTATCGACGATAGAAGACATCTTGGAGAAAAGATTGCGGGAAAAGAAACCTGGTGCAGCCTTTTGTAGGAATTTACTATTATCCATGAAGACTAGGTTTTCCCATGTAAAATCAGATAACCTCTACAAAGCGTGTATGGCAGTTGATCCCCATTTTAAGTGTGTTTTGCTCAAACCACATGAGAAATTACTTTTGAAAGATAGGTTTGTGAGTGAAGCCATATCTTTCTATGAAAAGCAGACAAAGACAACAGAGGTTCAACAGAGTCAAACACCGGAAATAGGTAAATATTACTAGGATGATTATTTTGAGTAGGCTTAGGCCTATAAAAAATAGCTTTACTTAAACAGATAATAAAAATGCTTAAGCTTAATTAATAGGCTACCTACCTAAATTCTGAAACTTTTGATCTGTTATCTACATTGAAGTTTTTTTAAGAAATTTTTACGAAGTCAATTAAGTCAAGGTTGTAAAAATAAAATATTAAACTTTAGTAGCCTATAGTCTTGGACTTTTAGGGCAAAGAATACTGTAGTCTATGGACGCTAAACCATTTGTCCACTTTCTTCATCGTTGAATCCATGGAAGAAAACTGCACAATAATCAATCACGTTTCTGAATAAACAAAATAATTTTTATTTTTGGTTTCAATGAATAATCAATCAATGTTTACCATGTTTTCAGACAAACCTGGGAGCAGTAATGTCACTGATTTTTGGAAGAACTTTGAAATCCTAGCATCAAGTCAATCAAGTTCAACAGTAGTCGAAGAGACTGAGACTGCAATGGATCATTGGCTGTGTTTGTCTGAACTTGATGTTTTTTTCAACGGACCAAGGATCTCCCCACAAGAAGACTCTCTTGAGTGGTGGAAGAACAACCAGCATAAATACCACTATCTTGCACCCTTGGCTAGAAAGTACCTAGGAATCCCAGCTACGGAGGTGGAGAGTGAGAGGGTGTTCTCCTCTGCAGGCAACGTTGTCAATGTAAGAAGGGAGTCCCTGACAGTTGAACATGTAAAGGAACTTGTGTTCTAATCTTACATCAAAATCTAAAATAATTTTTAATCTCAATCTCATATTTTAGGCCTATGTAGGAGTCTTTTAATTTCTTAACCTTGGTCCAACTTGAGACTTATAGAACACCAAATATAGATTGACACTTGATGAAACCAGCCTATTTGGCCTACTTTTTGTGCAATAATTTTATTTTATTTGAGATGTTTCTAATTATACATATCTGTTCTTTTTTGTATTTACCATTTAGCAATTTTTAGCATTATTTCATTAGCATAATCAAATCATTATTGATTTTCCTTTGTTGTTGTATTTTGTCAGATTTACTGTAGCCTATTGGCTATTTTATTTGTAATTTTTACGTCCTTTTGTTGTTATTATTATTCTTAAAAAAACTTTATTTGCATTTGATATTTTATTAAATATTTTTGGTAATGTATCATTGAGTTAGGCCTATATCTTATTCTAGGTAGGCTAAAAAAAACTTAACGTGAGACTGACCAAAAACTTAAGACTGATGACAAACCATCATGAGACTATGATGATGAAATAGACTTTAGTATATAGATCCTTTTTTTCCAATTATCTAGTCGATTGAGCTGTTTCAGATTTTGACTGTGTTTTTCTATATTATTTATTTTATACTTTATCCTTGTTATTTTCATTGTAATTGTACTCTATATTCAGATGTAACCTACTGTTGGATTATTTTATTTCTTTGTATGTCCTAATTAATTATTAAGTTATCATCCTTTTTTCTTATTTAAGAACTTGGTCGGTATGTTATTGTTTTTGGTTATCTTTTTTTAGTTTATTATTTTGCTTATGATTTTAATTTTGACACCCCATGTTGATTATTGGTTGCAGAGCTTCACCATACCTCGATGCTATTTTGACGTCAAAACAATTGAAGAAGTTGAACTCCATAGGTTTGTCGATGCTAGTGACTGGCCTATGCAGCAGTTTCATATCTAAGTGTGCCAGAGGTACCCGAAAACTGCCCAAGAAATACATGACCCCTTGGCCGAATCTCGGCTGTCTACCCAGGTCACGATGGCCAAGTACGTATAGATATGTATTTGGTTCACTTTAAGTTTTTAAGTAATACTTTAAGTGACGAGTGACTTAGGCTATGCAATGAGTGAAGACGATGATGATCCTGGTTTGCCTAGACATAACCTTCAAGCTCAGGGCAGTAGGCCTACAGTAGGCTATATTTATATGTTTATTAAAAAAAAGTATATGTTTATTAATTAAATAATATGACAAAGTAGACATCACAACATCAAAAGGAACTTATTGCCGGCCTCCTACTAAAGTTGCAGTCCTTTCCGTTGGAGGGGAAAAGATGTAATATGTTTCAAATTGACACATTGATTTATGTTCTTTGCATTTATTTATTGTCATATATGTTTTAATTAATTCCAATTATTGTGAATTTGTTTACCTTTTGTCTTGTCTTTATAAATTGCAAATACAGTCCTTTTTGATTTGTAATAGTCTGACATTATTTCTACAATGATTTTTTGCATGACCAGCCCTCTTGTAGTTATGCCCGACCTATGTCCCCTCAAAATGAGATGCAATATGTGCCTCATAGGCCTAGTCCTGTGTCCTGTGATCAGCAAAGTTCTGATGATGAAACCCCTGTTGAATTTATGGATAAAATTTACCGAGGTAGGGTAATTGCACCTGCACTATCTCCTACACCCAGTGAGGAGGCTGATGACCCTAGTTTTATTGAAAACCTTTTACAGGCTATCCTGGTAACAGGGCAAGCTTAGCCAGAAATTTAGGTCCTTCTCCATCTGAAGTTGAAGTATTCAATGCGTTTGTCGAGGATGATTTTTGGCAACATGTTGCTACAGAAACGAACAAATACGCCGAAGAGACGATTGAAAAAATAATGCAAGTGGTTAAGATAAACAGTTACTATCTGAATGGTTTGAAACGACTCCTGATGAAATGGCATGTTTTTACAGTCTAGGCTATGTGTTTTGATGTCACTTGTGAAGAAAAGGACCATTCAATTGTATTGGGCCCCTACTGCTACTACTGAGACTCGGTTTTTTTGAAAAGTTATGCCTTTTCGTAGGTTTTTGCTCTTATCAACAATGTTTCATATTTGTGATAATTAAAATAAGCCTAACATTTACATGTTACAAACTGTGGAAACTGAGGTATGTCATTGATTATATGAATCAAAAGTTTTTTCTTTTTCGGTTAAGTTTGGCTGATGAAAATATTGCAGTAGACGAAAGCTTGAAGAAATTTCGTGGGAGGTTGGGGTATGTGCAATTTAACCCCAAGAAAAGAGCCAGGTTCGTCATCAAATTTTACAAATGTTGTGAGTCAAGCAGTGGATACTATTCAAAATTTAAAATATACACCGGGGCTGAAGTGAAACAGTGGAAGGGGGTGGAGACACTGCTGAGGAGGATAACCTTTTGGTGAGCGAGGCCATAGTGATTGAAATGGTCAAGGAATGTTCCGGTAATGGTCATACTCTCACAATTGACAACTGGTACTCCTCACCTCTCCTCTACTATAGATTGAAACGGATTGGTTTCAATGTGATTGGGACGGTGAACTTGTGGAGGACAAATATGCCTGACAGTTTCAAAAGTGAAAAGCTTGATGTCGGTGAGTATGAAGTTGCATTTAGCCATGACATGACGGCTCTTAGATGGCACGACAAGAAAGAAGTGTGTCTCTTGTCTACTTTCCACAGTAAGGGGGACAAGAAAACAACTGGAAAGAGAGACAGCGTCAGCGGAGAGGTGATTACCAAACCTGAACCTGTTCTCTATTACAATAGCTCGATGGACGGTATCGACCGAGAAGACCAACAGCTTGCTTCTTTTCCTACCATGAGGAGATATGCCAAAGGGTATAAGATTTTTTGTATATATTGGACATAGCTCTCTTCAACTCTTATGTTGTTTTTAAAAAACTCACCAAGAAGAAGATAGGATTTGCTGAGTTCAAAAATAAATTTACGGAGCAAGTGTTCCACACCAGACAACTACCTGCCTACAAACGAAGAGGGCGGCCATCAACGACTGAAACCCCTCTACGGCTTCAAGGAGCTTCTTGGGGTCATTTCCCAAGACAAATCCCACCTAATGAAGTGAAGCAAAACCCATGAAGACGCTGTCAAGTTTCTAGTGCACAAGGGAAGCGTAGTAAGATATTTTGAACTTTTATAGTAAAAAATTTAAAAAAGAAAATATTTTTTTTTTAAATTTTTTGTTTTGTTTTAGATAGTATAAAAAAAATACTTCTAACCAATAAAATGTTTATTTTTTTATCTACATTCAATTCTGATTAGAAAAATAACAGTATTTGATATACAATATACAAAATTCTGTGTGCAGATAAAAATATTGTAAATTGTGTAAAAATACACAGAAATTATTAATTTTTTCGCTCGGTTAGGTGTAAAAATAAGTTTAAGCGAAGGGGTTAAAGCTTTAGAGAGAGCCAATCAACATTATTAAAAACAGCATTTATAATGTTGTCTTACGTAGCCTATAACTATTAGCATAAAAGAATACAATGTTGAATAAGGTAAATTCAAATTCTTTTGTTTATCAAACTGGGGTTTTTTTTTGCTTAGCTAATAAATAATATGTTTTATCATATATTATTCAGAGTTTTTTTGTATTTTCAAGAGCTTAATCAATACACAAAACTGTTGTTGTAATAGTTAGCTTAGTTTACCTCAATTGTTAAAGTTCCCAAATCATAAGAAATAAAATCAACCACTGTCACAAACTTTGGACACAATAGCCTGCTGATAGAATGCGTACTGTCTTATATGCTATTTGTTTACCCTCGTAAATGTTTATAAGTCAATAACTGAGATCTAACTTGCTACTTTTGACAACATGGAAATAGCTTACCTTTGAATATTCACAGATCTGGACAAAGCTAACCATTTCCTTCTTGAAGTAGTTTCTTATTCTGACATAGTCGAAGTATGAGGGTACATAAATGACTGTGTGGCTCATCAATGGCTCCTTATACTGTGGCAACACTTTGCTGATAAAATATTGGAATCTGGCATCTATAGAGTCGGTAGCTGAGTCACAGTCTATTCTGTTGAAGACCTGAAAAATGAAATGTTCAGCTGACATATGAGACTGAGTGCTTAACCTATGCATTATAATGTGCCGACTATTTTACATACAAACAAAAAACTAGATATGTTTTTTAAAACTAATGTTTTGCCAGTGGAGAAAAACAATGATAATGAATGAGGGTTTGTTAAGCCTTAAGCCAAACATTAAACTATATTGTATTCGTACAATTATTTGTGTTTGTATTATGGTAGCCTGTATAGCACAATATACATTTAACTTAATGTCAACAAATAAACAATAAACAAAAAAAAACTCGTTTTATTTAGTCAGTGACAATGCTGGCCAGCCTTTACAGTTTTATCACTTTTTATCCCATTTTAATCATTTGATTAACATGGCTAGTTTTGACTATTGTGATTTTGACTATTTTTAAAAGTCTTTTGACATACCGGTACCACAATGTATTAATACATTATTTATGATGTGGTGTCATACAATGACCTGACGAAGTTCTAAGGAACGAAACTATTTGTCATACCAGCAACTGTGGTTGGATAAGGTAATCCTTTTATATAAAAGGGTCGTTTTCACAATCGATTGTGCAGTAAAATCTGTCACTAACCTGGTCTATGCCTTTGATATGATAAACATAACTGCCTAAGCAAACAACAATTATTACAGACTTCTTTTTAGTAAACAGGGTGGAAATGGCCAATTGAGTGACTATGCCAACTAAACCCACAGAAAAATAAAGATTAAACATTTCAAAAGTACTGTACAGTACTATACAGATATTAGTTATTCTTAATTGCTATTATTTACTGTTATTGTTTATAGTGCATGTATTCTATAACAAGTCTACTGTACTCAATAGATAGTATTTAAGACTTGTTTACAGTGTATGGACTACCTGAGGTAGCTGCAACACAATCTGACAGATGGTGCCTGTTTTGACTGGGTTCATTACCCACACTTTGCCTGCGTAGTTGTGACACTTGCGGGAGAACAGAGCTGATATCTGGGGTAGTGGATGGCTACTGAATACCAGAGTCTGTCTGTAGTATCTGGCTCTACCACTCAGAGCCCAAGGACGAACCTGAGAACAACAACAAGGTCTATAACATGCATTTATAGTGTTAAGAGTTTTCACTAATGTACCAGCAGACAATGTCTTTTATATGTAAGTATGATACATTCCTTCCTAATTTTAGAAAACATCTGATACTTAACTAATTTTTATGTAATAGTATTGGCAAAACTGTGGCTGCATGACCTATGCTTGACATGACCTCAGATGTCCTCAACACAGTGGCAGTTTTCACCAAACCCTTCTCTGTTGAATTCCGCTCCAGGGATGAATAGAAACATCTCCCAGGAACGGAAAGCTTCCTCAGGTACACAGAAAGGCTCCCTCATTGATGATTAGGCTTCAGAGTACCAGAACAGAACTGTTTGCAAAGCAAAAAAAAAAGAAAACACACACTGTGTAAAAGGGGCCTTACCCAGTTTAACACATTAGGCTTGGCCTTTAAGCTAGGTAAATATTCAAACAAATATGGTATGAAACTGATACTGTAAAACCCAAAGTCCTTAACACTTACCCTGGCGAAATTTGTTCCATGGCTATCTTTGGGCTGCATATGTAGATGATCCCAGATGTGGAGAAGATGATCCCAGTTCTACCAACAGAAAACAAGGATAAATTACAGCTGACCCTTGATAATCTGATACTTATGGGACCAAGAAGGTGATGGTACCAAAAACTCTGGAATACAAAATATTATAATAATAAATTCAACCTATAGGCTGAGAAAAGTCAACTTATCATACCTTATTGTGTACTCCTCTCCAATTAGAAGGTGTTTAAATCAGTCTGTTAAAGCAATATTTTACTACAAAGCAATGTTCATTAAATAAAAATAAAAATAAATTGATTGAGCTTATTAACTCTCACGTAACTTTACCTCGCAAGCCAGAGTTTAACCAGTTTCAAAGGAACCATAACTAAACTAAATCAATAACAAAATTAAAAGGGTGCACACTTATTTCAGAATATTTTTGAAAGCAGTGTTTTTACACAACTTTCAATGAAAAATTAAGAGCGTCCTTCAGAATCTGCCTGTTTTACAGTTGGACCGCTTGGAAAAGCTAGCAAGTTGGGGAATAGTTTTGGCAAAACAGCACTAGGATTAAAAATCTCTGCTGCACAAACCCACAGACTTCGCGCAAATTTTCATCTGCCTGATTGTATTTTCACTCAAATATTTCCTTAAAAATGTCAGATTTATTCACTATTTAAATAAATAACATTAGTTGAACAAGTACATAGGTTTGCTACTTAAGAGAAGATAATAGTTTTTTTTTTTTTTTTTTTTTTTGTGAAATGTTAAGTACAGTATGTAATAAAAAAAATTTCCAAATTTGATCAAACTATTCCCTTTATGGGAAATTTGTTATAAAGGTTATGTTAATCTAAAAGTGACTCGACTCCTCTGCACTTATTTAGGTTGTTTTCAATCAAAATTTCTTTAATGGAAATTATCTATACGAAGAGAGGATCCCAACTGGAAAAAGCTATCACACTTGGACACAACTTTTTATTACACTTACATAGTTAATACACCTCGATACAAAACACGTACCGTTTCTGGCAGCGCAGTATTAAAAACACAATTGAGAATTTCAGTCTAAAATACCAAAAACACTCAAACAGTAGGCAGGGACTGCGGCTTTGCAATTTGTCTCAAATTGTCCTTTATTGGAGGTGGCCATAGGCTTATCCCAAAGGTGTCAAATATATGACTTACCTGCATGAAGATGACTTCGGCTTGGTCCAGAACTAGCAGTTCTATAGACGCCAGGAAGTCATAGTCTCTATCAGCTTGACCTTCAGCTCCTACAATGACTCTGAGTCCTAGTGGAGAGGCAATAATGATGTCGGCTGAGTAAAAATCAGCATACAGCTGCAAAGCAACAAAAGAACAGTAAGATGCGTAATCTCAACAAGTCATGGAGCAATTCAAGTACATAACAAATTTTAATTCTCATTAAGAAACAAATGACCTAGTGATTCAAAAAGATATCACTTCAACAACGTTCACCTCCCCCTAGAAAACGAAATTATCACCTCTACAGGACATGTAAAAGATCTAAAACATGAATTGGAAAGGAAAAATGTAAACCGAACCTTGTCTTACAAAAACCTCTAAATATATTTGATTAAAATTGACTCTTGCCTTCAAACTTTTCTTGGTAACTGAGATTCCTATTTTGAAATTATCATCAGTGTCCCCAGCAAAGGTTTTTTCATAATCCTCAGGCTTTGGATTTCTCCGTGGCATGGCTATCTCTCCAGAGTTGAATTCTTCATAGAAACGTTTTTTATTCAGTATATTGTTGTTTCCTTCTTCTAGGAGCAAAGAAGCTAACATTTCAACAACCCTAAAAATGTTAAAATACAAGATTAACAAGAATAATTCCACAACCACTTTTAAATGTGTACTTTTCAAGGAGAACTAAATACGTATGAGGTACTATTATTGACTTCTGGGTGGATACGGGAGTATATTATATTCCACCTGTATAGATCAGCTGTGCTAATTGTTGTATTAAAATCAAATATATAGTGAAATGAGTCATTTGTCATGGGCAATTGGCCAAGTCTTTATGATCAGCTAAACAGCTGATGTATTATTTGTTTCTATAGTTAAGAGATTATTGCATTACCTACCCTAACCTGAACTTGGTTCAAGCTTCAGCCCTATGTGATGGAGCACTAGTAAATATAACCTATTTTATCTAACAATCAACTTAAAAGCCATCAGATATTCATAATGCGCGTCTCGTTTGAGAGATAATTAAAAATTAAAATGCACCATCAAATGTGGCTGTGAAGCTTGGCTTTTTCCCTATTTCATAATTGTTTATGTGAACCGAGCCTGACAGTAGTAGCTATACATAATCCCTAATACTTCAGTACAGTAGAGTGCCGCTTAATAAAACTTCCTGGTTAACCAACCCCCCCCCCTCTTAAAAATAAAAATTAAAAAAAAATGTTCAAATCGGAGGTTATTGTACGTCAATAAAATTATTGAGCAATCTTCATAAGTTGGAAGCGATCGGCAGAAATCAAGAGTCTTTGCCACAGTCACAAGTGTTACTGGAGGGACAGTCCCTCCAGTCGGCGTTTTGCTCGGAACAGGAACATGTCAACCGTTGCAGTTAGTACGACAGGACTGATAGTTTTTGTAAATTGTTTAAATGTATTCGTCGTGTGTGTTATGTGTTTTAACTTCAACGAAACCACTTCAGCTGAGATTTTGTAGTCTGACGATGGCATTGTAATGCTGAAACGGCCGTATAATAGTTACACCAACATTTTGAGCTGCATTGAGGAAGGTAAAGCCTATTTTAGTTATTATTCAGCTCAGGGGCTAAAACATGGACTGGTATTAGTTGAATCATAGAGAACCAACGTTATATAATAATGTGGTACCGATCATCCCTATTGTTACTAAATTTGTTAAACATTAAGTGGGGCATTAAGTGTACCCGAAAACCATTTTCATTGACATCATTCTGTCTTTCACAAATTCCAAGTCATGACCCTGAACCAAGCAGTTGTTGATATTGGACCAAGAGAATTCAGTGCTGGGTTGACTTATGTTGCATTGAGCCCGTCCGAACTATATATGGGCTGCTTTTCGACCCAGGATTTCCAAAAGAACGTCTGAAAAAGAAACTGGTTGAAGATAAACGTTTGGAACCACTGTTTTAAAGACTTTCGAGTTTTAGTTTAAGAAGTTCACATTCATTGAAATTAATTGACCAATCAATTAAAGTTATCTCTACACAATCTTTTGTCTATTTGAATTTGTAGGTACTGTAAACATAATTTTGAAGCTTTATGGTGAGGGCTGATGGCATTATGGCTAATGGCTTGATGACTCAATTTTGTGGACGCGTCTGCAAACGCCACCTAGTTTATATGGTTCTGCCAAATGAGATCACTGGATAGTCCATAAAGGGACAAATAATACAAGCCAAAGCAATAGTATTAAAAAATAATTCAAAGATGGCGATAACACTTGCAGCAATTGATGAACGGACAGAAAACGTGATATAAAAAGAATATGGACAGTAAAAGAGTAGTAACAGTAATCATTATTACTATACTTACTTGAGAGCAGAGTTTCTAAAGGGAACAAGTATCAAAACCTTGGGCCTTATCAATCCTTGATCTCTGAAGTCATCAGGAACATCCACTCTAGAGTCCTGTTTAGTTGCTAATCTAGAGTTGTGATGCACAACTTTTAGTCTTGTTTTCAAAACATGATTTATTGCATGTAAACAATAAATGAATCGAACTTCCTCACCATTATCTAATGTTCGTTCTGGAAAGTATAAGTCTTGATAATTGTTGACAATTGAAAATAGTTCCTTTTGCAAAGCAGTCAATTGGTCATCCTCAGTGACTGTCACATTAGCACACTTGTTATTAGCTTTATGGATGTTGCTGTGAATTTGTGACTTGACGAATAATTGTTTACACTCATTCAGAGAGAATTTGTCAACTCTTTGAGGCACACTACCTTCTTTAGCAAAGTGGACATCTCCATCAATTCTAATTTTTTTCTTGGCTTGTGATTCTTCAGACCCAGCTTTTGGTAGGGTAATTTTCAACTGCCCCAACACAGGCCAACATTTGACAGTTTCTTCAACAATTTGAGGAGTCGAAGATACACTTTTAAAGAGTTCATCGCTTAAATCATATTGAATATGATTATCAAAAGGGTCGCATGACAGAACACTTGTAACCTAAAAAAACATTGTTAATTAGTTAGGCTAAAAAGAGAATTATTTATTGATTCAGAGATGTCAGTATAAATAAAAAAAAACTTCCTAAGAGTGTTTAAAGGGTGTGTGTGGGGGGGGGGGGGTTCAAATGCAGTAGGAGTCATAACTTTAAATTTTGTTCAAATTAATATTAAAATGTTCTTGTGTTTAATTTTTATTTATGTTGACGAATCTGCAAAGGGAATATGTGTTTTTGAAGAGCTGTTGATGTGTTAATAAGCCTGAACATATGTATTGTGATTCGTTATGTACATAATGTGGAGAGGGCAGGCCCGTTTTTGACTATGTCAGCGCCCTAGGCACAACAAAAATAATAGCGCCCCTTTGCAATATATAATAACAGGGTGACCACCAACCGGGAAATCCGGGGATTAAGCGTGAATTTTTTTGAACTGGGAATTGTCAATTTACCGCGATGGCGCATGACAACAGTGACATTTCTGTGACCGCGGGAGACAATAATATGTCTCCACAAGGCCGTGAGGGGTGATCAGAACTTTGCCGCGATCGCTTGAGACGATGATAATTTCCAAACGACCGCGGGATATAATCATGATTTTACCGCGGTCGCACAGTAAGATAATGAGATCTACAGAGCCGCGAAGGATGAGCTGAATATTGCCGCCATTGCATGAGACGATGATTATGTCTAAACGACAGCGGGATATGATCATGATTTTACCGCGATCGTGCAATACGATAATAAGATCTACAGAGTCGCGAAGGATTATCTGAATACTGCCGTGATCACAGAAGACGAAGATAATGTCCACACAACGGAGACGATTACGATGTCTTCACTACCGCGGGAGACGATTACGATGTCTTCACGACCACAGGAGACGATTAGCCTACGATGTCTTCACGACCGCAGGAGACGATGACAATGTCTTCACGACCACGGGAGACGACAACAATGTCTTCCCAACAGCGACATATGATTGCGATGTCTTCACAACCGAGGGAGACGATTACGATATCTTCACGACAGCGGGAGACGATTACGATGTCTTCACTACGGCGGGAGACGATTACGATGTCTTCTCGACCACAGGAGACGATTAGCCTACGATGTCTTCACGACCGCAGGAGACGATGACAATGTCTTCACGACCACGGGAGACGACTACGATGTCTTCCCAACAGCGACATACGATTGCGATGTCTTCACAACCGAGGGAGACGATTATGATGTCTACACGACAGCGGGAGACGATTACGATGTCTTCACGACCATGGGAGACTATTACGATGTCTACAGGATCGCGGGAGACGATTACGATCTATACAAATTCAAATTCTTTATTAACTCATAACATCTTTTGTAGTACCGGTACAATGTACATAGATAGGAGTTCGGTCAATATTTATAAAACTAATACTAAACTGTTATATTTGATAAAACCAATTACAATTATTAAAACTTTAAAAATATAATAGTACAGTGGAGTCCCGATAATCCGAACTTCGGTAATCCGAAACCAAAAATTATATTTTTTTTTATAAAAAAAAATTTTGGAATTTTTTTTGCATTTTTTTTATTAAACTTTTGACACAGTTAGCTGTACCTCGTCAAAGTATTCTGTAGCGGCTGGGCGAGATAGACTTTTTTTGTAGAGTATTTTAGTAAATATTTCACCATTTTTGTTATTACTGTAACGGTTGTTGACAAACTTATGGGAGAAAGTATGTGTCAGAATGCTGATACCATTTATTGTTATTACTGTAACATTTTACATTTTCGTCCGCCAAATCACAAATGGATTTTATTAAGTGATAATGCTGCAGCCAATAGGTCTAGCCTTAAGTAATGTGAAAAACAATCCCGGGCTCGTGCCTGCGCCAAAAAAAAGTAGTAAGACAAAAAAAAAATAAAAAAAAATAAACTTTTAATCCGAAATATTCGGTAATCCGGGCCCATTTCGGATTACCAAATATTTCGGATTAAAAGTTTTTTGTTTTTTTAAATTTTTTTTTGTCTTGGTCTTGGTCCCAACCATTTCGGACTAACGGGACTCTACTGTAATACTGTACAAAAAGAAAAAAATATCTGTCAATTATTAAAACTAAGCCCAAACTACAAGACTATAGTCCGCGCGCGATAACTTTGCACTTGGGATTTTTGGTGTTCCGTGTGAATTTTGTATCGGCAACGTCGCACCGCCGAGGCGAGCGCCCACTTCTTGTCGCTTTGGCTCGATATGTGACAGGTATAGGATGGGGTAGCGAGCCCTGCAGCGTTGCCAAGTTGTGCAAGTCCCAAGTGAAAAGTTATCTTGCACGGAGTATAAATACCAGTCTGGTCTGTATCAGGATAGGATATTGGCTTTTGTCCTGTATATAATCCAACTACAGCAATCTTTCTTAAACCAGTTTAGACTAAACTTACTCTAAACTTACTTAAATTTAGAGAAAACTTAAGTCATGATTTTGGCCCAAAATATAGAAGGATGACAAGTAGCTTACTTTACAAAGATTTTCCATTCAGCAGACTCAACCAGTTTAGTACATTTTTTAATAGGAAAATAACCGCCGAAGTAAGTTAGGCTAGTGCCGTTGTGAAGCAAGTCAAGTACCTGAACTGTATGCCTAACTGGTTAACAGAATGACACCTTGGAACCTAAAGTTAAGCTAGTGTCTGTGATAATTTAGGTTTGCTCTGATATTTTACCACAATAAGTTAAAGCAGTTAAATTGTTTTACAGCTGTTGGTAATTTATACTGGACAGTATAGGAAATGTTTATGTCATTTCTATTATTCCTAATGTGGTAGGGGATGTCAGTGCTGCCAACTTTGTTCATTTGACCCAAGATGGATCCTCATTTATTGGATAATACCTATTTGTACGTAAAGAAAAGTAGACGACGGCGACGGAGGTGGGCTGTACACCTGGTGAATGAAAGTCGTAGGGTTGGCAGCAATGACAGTGTTGGCAGTACTGTGGGGTTGCTAATGTGATGGTGATTCCTTTTTGTACAAAAATTCCCATATCAAACCCGGGTGATACCTTTGATACAAAAATTCCCGTGTCAGTCCCGGGAATACAAAAGTCATATTATTTCTACGAAACAATAAGGTTGTATTATTCCGCGGATTTAAACAAAAATGTAAATCTCACCCAGTAATTTTTTCCCCAATTACCTCTCTAGCCCCGACGAAATGCCGAAACTTGGCAGAGTGTGAGTCCTCCGCCCGGCACTACCGACGGAACGCTGAAAAATGATGGAGATTCCGTCGTACATAAAAGGGTCCCATTTGATCACATGTTAAAACACTCTCCAGCCCAATAGATTTCGCCCGACGGAAAACGTCGTGCATAAAAGAGGCCATAACATGTCATTGCGACGTTGCTACACACCAGACCTTGTGTCAGAGGTGGCTTTGGCATCGTATGTGTTATTAAATTACTTGAAAGTACAAAAAACACTTCTTAAAACACATGAAATCAATATTTACACTGTTGACTCACAAGACGTTAAATAGGCCTACATATAAAATATGGTACCGTAAGTGGTTTTACAATCGATTTCGATTGGACACACCAAGCATCATCATACCCAATAGGCGAATATATCTAGAAGTATTTTTTTTACTTTAAGTTACGGTAATTAAATACTTTCTGCTCCCAAAAATGCTTAAAAAACTTTGTTTGTTTGGACAAGCCTAGCCTATAGGCCTAATATTATTTTTGCAACCATGTTGAATCAAAATTCCAGTATTATATGATTATTTTGTATTAGTCGCAAGACATTCAATGTATGTTATGAGTTGACATTAACTATTTATAATCCTAAGAAGAATGAAATTTATGCTCGACACATGCTAGCAAACCGCAAGCATAAGAAAAGGAACACCTGGACAAGTATCTACAAGAGCTTAATCTTCTAAGTAAGGACTGTAATTTTCATGCCATAGCCATAAGTTAGATGGGAATACTTATCGAGATGAAGCCGTTCAAGATTTAGTGGAATTACATTCGACAAAGACTATTGGAGATGGGGACGCCACCTATGAGCGTATTTTAACCTTAATATGAGTGAAGTATGAGTGTAGAATGGAGTGAGATGCCTTGTGTAGCTTTGTTACTAGCCTGTTTCGAATTATAAGCACTCTTTAAGGCAATTTCTTGACAAAAGAAGAGTATATGCTCGAAACGCACAGGTCGGCTGTCGGGCAAAGACCGAGTGCAAGGCACAACACAACTTGGCAACAGTGGACGGTTTTCTGAAAGCTGATTGGATGCCGCTTGCCCTCACCCCACCTGACTGAAACTGGTTTCGGTCCTATTTTGTAATCCATTCGACTATAGGTAGTTTACTGACATTTTAACTGCACTCAATGTTTTATCAGTTCTATGATCAAGGCCATTAGCCTATTTACCGTCAGGGTGTAAAGATAGGTCTATTCCCCCTATTGTGAACATGACTCTCTCATGCACTCTTAGAACCTATTGGTGTGGCAATGGAAGCCCTTTTAAAAACAATGTTTATTATACTTGTTTAGAATACTTAAGATGGAATTCCAGCCGCGCTACTTCACTGGGTTCAGCTGCGCTGGCCTGTAAAAATTGTATAGCTCTCTTCTCTATTAGCTCCTGTGGAGGATAGCAGAAACAGCATTCCATGATTTGAGACTGTCCAACAGCCATTTTTAGGTCCCTTCTCACACCCACATACCACATCACACAAAGCACGATAACAAACAAGTAGAATACTGGGTGATCTAGAAATCTACCATCCTACACACAACTCCATCCATAAGTTACTTGGCAAAAAAAACCTAGACATTAGTATGGTCGCCATTTCAGAATAAAGTATTTAAGTACCTCTCTGTAGAGGAGAGTTGCCAAAATTGTAGGACTAGGTACCGTCTCCTAAATCGTACATTACCACCTCGATTTTAAAACAAAATAGAGTGACTACAGTGCTCGTGCGGCGTAGTCAGTAGGCTACATAAAAAA